CAATTAGTATTTTTTATTTCTCATTTAATTGGTGGTTCCGAAAGGTGCAAATAAGGCGGATTTGTTTTGTTTTAATCCTCCCTTTGGCGGAATGGAATGCGTGTTTTTTGCGAACTCACCCGAGCTAAAAGGATCATCAGGGTGAAGGCTAGCTCGAAGGCCAAATTGGCCAAGTAAGTCCACATAATTGTATTGGCATTTAAAAGGCGACTATGGAATTCTGTTTCTTGTGGCTCGGCGAATTTGTTCTGAGATGTTATTGTCTAAAGAGTAAGTACGTGAACGCTTGTCGACGACTTTTTTATCTGGCATCTCGAAGTACACTGAAGCGATTTCATATATTCAGTAGTTTGAAACGGGAGAGTAACATTTTTATTTCCCTCTGGGTCTTACTCATCCTTTGTTTCACGTTATAGTTAATTGCGAAGTGACTAAGCCGATATCGAATTCGACTTATTAGTCACGATAGTTTCAGGTTCCGATTATATTATCAGTATTGGGTAGGTGCGTATAAGGGTGCGCAATGCGCAGTTAGTTTTAGTAAATAATAGTTATTTATTGTACAGGTACTTTAAGTAGCATTTTATTCGCGCAAGAATGTTGAATGAATATTCTTAAGTGTATAAAAGGCAATTAAAACACGAATGCAATACAACGTTTTTTCCATAATCACATCACAATCATATTTGTGGAGTCAGAATTATTGGAATTTAATAAAAATATTCGCACGAATGATCGAAGTATTCGATGTTGAAGGCTACTTACTATAAATGTCTACAAAAATATAGATATTGGAAAATATAACAAATATAACAAACTTACTGCTTATTCGACACAGCTATCCTCAATGATGCATATGTTTGTCAAAAATAGCCCGGAAATCTAAGAACGGGGGGGCGTTCTGGAACATTTATGGAGTCGATTTTCGTTGGAATGAAAATCGGAGCTGATCATTTACGGAAAATATGGCCAAAAAACTATGTTTTTTTTATAAGGGGGTCCTGAAAAGACCCAGAAACTGAGTATATGGTGGCCTGCAATCATGTGTAATATAGATACATGTAGGATTGTGTCGAATAAACAATTATCTTCCAATCCAACCTGATGAACCCGAAATATCCCAGAGCCATTTATACCACCTGTCGACATACACTCGCTGAATCTGAGAAATTAGCCATGTGCAATTGCTACATATGTGTAACTGGTCGACTAACATGTCACAAGAAACCGAAGAAAGGGAGAGGTATTTGCCGGAAGTTTAACGCAGAAATTACAAAATCTACAGGTATGTACGGGAGCTCTGGCGGAAACGTCCAGAATTAACGGAAAGGAAGTTAAATGTGATAAAATAAAAAACAAAATGTCTATTACTATAAATGTAAATGTTAGTACGTAAATAAATTATATTTGATTTATTATAGGTTTATTATTTTGTCATTATTCTACTAGTGAAATAAAGTTACTTTATTCCACTAGTGGATAAAGTATCGCTTTTGACGGTTCATATGTGTGAATAAAAGTCCGATTATAAGGTGATTATGGATAAATGTCTTTTTTATCATTTATTTCATGGATTATTATTATTTATTAAAGTTATAAGCACATAATAACTCGGAAAGAAACCCCACCCACAAAAAATTATTTTATATTTTTTAACCAGAATCTCACCCTGCATACGTTGTTTAATTTTTCGCTACGAATTGAATATTTGAAGAGTATATACATAAAACGATATGGGAAAATATCCGGTGACTACCGCAATGATATGAAGAAACATTTTTGGAACCGCTGTTTCTATCAATAGCTTGGCTCGGTGTTTACACAAATCACTGTACAGAGTTAACTCATAGTTTGCTTTTCCACTATCAGCCGAAGAGTTTCTTTTTTTTTACTAAATTAACTTTTCTCTGTATTTTAACCAACTCGGAATGCATTCGCATTTCTGACTGTCAGATGGACGACACCAAATTCTTGAAGTTTACGATTAGACCTCCTTTTTTCGCAATAAAGCCTAGAATGTTGGGTCTCTCTCGATCTCGGCTATATCTATAACGAGAGGAATGCGGTGGTTGTAAACTAAAAATAAGACATGCCAAGTTATGAACACGTACATTTAAATTACTGTTACTTAATTCTGCAAATTATGTTGTTACACCAAGTTTTACGGTTTTAATTACTTTCCAAAAAGAAACAAAAATTTTATACCGGGAGTTTGTCGACCTGTTGTGGATAACGAAATGACGAAACATCGTCTGTGCCCTCCATTATAGAAATACCTTTGCCTACGCAAATATTATTTATTATTATTATGGGTATTACTGCTATTTATAGGCAACCGGAGAGATAATGTTTTAATACTTTGTTTGGACTAGATTCTAATGAAAAATGAGTTTGCGCAAGGAATTATTTACTTTAGGATTGAGTAGATATTATTTCAACATTGTATGTAATATGCACCGTTTATGGTGTACAGGGTGGTCGCTACTATTAGCATATAATAGGCACTTTATAACCTACACATACTGATTTAGGTTTTATCTAATATCTATCTGTGTTATCACTGGAAGATCTAAATCGAAAACCCTTTAATTCTTAAGAATTTGTCATTGCTCTCTTAATATCTTCATTGTTAAAATTCAAAAGTAGGTAACTCCTACCATATTTTTTTTTAGTGACAATTTCCTATACAGGTTGTTGCACCTAAGAGGGATTTTTTCTGTAACTCTGCAATTGTAAAATTTAAATTTAAATTTAAAAAATGGTTTTAATAAAAGTTGCCTGGAATCATGTGGGCCATTAAAGAAAATATTTTTAACTTTACAGGGTGTTCCATTTCGCTTGGGCGCTACATAATTTTGTTATTTTAAATGGTACACCCTGTATATTATTGCGTTTTTGAATTCCTGATTAAGTTATAAGCATCTATATAAAAACTGTTCTCATTAATTGCATTAACGTTATTATATTTTATTATTTATTGTTTTGTTTTGGTATTAGTAATGTAAAGTAAGTAATGGTGTTGTGTGTTGTTGTATTATGTGTTGGTGTGTAAATTTTGTGTGTTTATAATTATTAAATATCCGTTTGAGCGCCTTTTATAATGTAAAATGTCATTTGGGTGTGTTTATATCGAATTTTCCATTGAGCATAGGTTCTGATAAGAAAATTTTATAATAACACTGACAAATATAGACGAATTAGACTTTCTTACCTTATCATTGCTAACATCGCCTCCGGCAGCTTTACTTTGTATAAATAATGTTCACAATGTAGACAGAATTTTATTAGTGTAGATAGGAATGTTCATTTTCTACACTGTCCCTCAAGAAAAAACACTTTATTTTATCAATAGCATGAGTCCTTACCTCATAGGGGCGGTTCTATGCTCTTTTAATTAACCTTTACTATTTAATTTTTGGTAGGAAGCATTGAATAAAAGCAAAATTTGAAAGATTTACACAAGATGACATTTATTACTTATTTTTCTTTCAATTTCAAACAATCCTTTTGATGAACACAGAAACTAAAATTTTCTTTATATACTTTTACATGAATAATTGTCTGAGAAATGCCTTATTCTACCTATTATAGTTTAGAAAATGTTTGGTTAACCAATTATCATTATTTTTAAACGTTTTTCAAAACAAATTAACTTATATCACGAACATTGGAAACTAAATTAATACTTAAATTATAGAATGTTCAAAAATGTCAATTTAAATTTTAATCACTGAAATTGTTTATAGTCGAAACGGGTTTTCTGTTTCACAAATAGTTTTTATAGTTCAAATTTGCAACACTTTATGGCATGGAGAAAACAGTTATGCAACTGGACTTACTTTATTTCGTTCTGCCTGGCAATTTGCGTACGTTTCTCTAACCTCACTTTATTGTTGTGGTTTGTCTGCTATTCTCGTGCGTTGAAGATGGCTGTTGGGTCTGTGTATAGTGCTTCCTGGTGTTTTAGATGTTGTTTTGGGGAGCCACAAGACAACATGCACCCCTCACCAGTCTCTCGAATCTCCTGCTTTCTTCACCTCTCTACAGCTTGTTGACTTCTCACGATGTTTTTTTTGTTTTTCCGGTACCAGGTAAATTCACTGATTTGGCCTATTGCCATTGGTTGCTCGTATCCATGTTATCATTTTCTAACTGCGCAATTTCTCTAGCATATTGCGATGAATTTGATTTTAATTACCTTACGGCGTAATTTACATTTTATAACTGCGTAGTAGATTTTATACGTCTTAATACTAATTTACAAGAAATTTTTATATGATATTTTGCATGACAAATTTTTTTTAAGAAACTTCTAGCCTATGTGTTTCTGATGTTATAATATTTGAACTTTCTTTTGTACTAGATTATTTAACATTAATTTACTCATAAAATCTCTAAATTGGCCCTTCTTGTGGCATTTTCTTTTACTTTAATGCGTCTACTTCGTACCCAAAATTTATTTTCTTGACATGCTTATCATTTAAAACGTATTATTTAAAATTTTGACTGATAATGTTTTAGGTTTTATATGAAATAACTATGAAATGAGCTTTTTATTTTTCTTTAAAAGTAATTTATGTCTTTATTTTATTCTACATTATAATTTCATGAAAATTTTCTATGCTATTTCTCGGTGTTGCGTCTTGAGATACAGTGTGTTCATTTCAACGTTAAAATAAAGTATTCTTAATTCTTACATTTACGACCAATAAATAAATAAAAAAACATTCGGTCACCCCTTTATAAAAATTTAAGAGCAATATTTTCTTATGTGACGTGAAATAATTTTTTAGACCCACCTTCGAACAACCGTATCTGTCGTTATTGTTATCATTTTTTATCTATAGATATAATTTTTATCAATAACCGTTTGGTTATTTTCGTGTACCCTATCCAGTTCGTAATGAAATAGCGTCAAATGAATGTCACGGTAATTTTTTTATTCACAGTGTGGATCTTAGTGTTTACTTCCGTTTTAACGCTTTTGTTTTTTGTTCCAGACCAATCCAACCGGGATAGTTCCCCTACCCCGCGGAAGCAGAGGCCCTAAGAGTCTTTATCTCAGACGATATGGCGATAGTTTCGGATTTACGCTTAGACATTTCATCATTTACCCACCGGACTCTGTTACAGTAAGTATAAGTGTGTTATATGCAATGTTGGTATGTTTTCCCACGTGTTGAATGAGAAAAATGGAAATTTTGCTTAACTGGCATAAAAATTCTGTACCTACAATTATCGGAGATCTACCTAACAATGATATTTTTGGAAATTTCGTTGACAAAGCAGTAGAACATTGGAAAGTTTCCCTAAATTGCATTTAAAATTAATTCTAGTGTATGTAATGTTTTCCGGTATTTGTTTACTTAGCGAAAAAAGTACAGAAACATTAGCTAATTGTTTACATTAGATAATAAACATCGAATTGGAAGTTCAAATAATGTGAATTCATACGATGTAATTTTGTATACGTTGAAAGACAAGTTTTGTTATTTGACTTTTAGCGCTGTTTCAGACCGGTTTGTAGCTATTTCTGTTTGCGATGAAAAACTCGAGTAAACACTACCCAGTTGTTTGATTTTGTATGGAAAGAGACATGCCATGTACGACATTTGATTTCAGTATATGAATCGTTACAATTAAGCTTTATTTACGAGTAGGTCAGATTTTGTTATTTTTTCCCGTCTATTCTAGTTGTCGCGATGCACATTTATAGTTGCATATACGTCTGGTTCCGATGCTATAAGTATTTGTGGGATTTTTTGTCGTACGATCTCGCTAAAAAATAATTATGTTTTAACAATGTGATAACTAGAAAATCCTCTTGAGAACAACAGAAATATTGCTAATCTCTTATCAGTACTGGACTAATTTAGGATTTACTTGATTTACTTGGAATCAGACTAGAAATGTAACAATCCGGAAAAAACAGGACAAATTGGAAAAACGGAAACTGAAGATTGAAAAAATGAAACCTGAAAAAAACTCAAAAATAAAATCAAACTTGAAATATACTTACTTAAATATTTTTTTCAGATATATTTTCTTAGAATAAATCTCAATAAGTACAGTGAACAACGACAAGAAACAAAATATCAGTTCTCTATAACTAGAAAAGTGTTGTATAACCAAATTTCAACATGCATCTAAACTAAAAAAACCGAGCTCAGAAAAAATGTTATTTTAAAAATCTATTGCTAAATCCGAGTCTTTTCAACACAGTTTTTCTTAATCTTCTGTTTTCGATATAAATTTTTTAATATACGCAGTGTTAATGATAAGTTTTGCCTCTATTCTACCAATGAAAATATTCAAATTTTGCCCTATAAAAGTTTTTGATATGTTAAAGGTTTCAAATATTTATATTATTTTTCCTGTAACTTCACTGGCATAAAAGAGTCAGTGATAAAATTGGGGGATGACATTTTTTTACGAGGGACTATTTTTCCATGGATAACTTATTCTAAAATACACTCCAGTGTCGTAGTTGTTGGGGGAGTAGAAAAAAAATCGTACGCCACTGGTTTTTTAAATAATTTTAAATGTTTTTAAAATGTACAATCAATTTGTAGCAATAAAGTGTTCTTGTAAAGTATTCGTAAAATTTACTGGTTTTTAGATAATTGGGAAATCAAATAAGAATATACTTAAGTACCTACGTTGCTAAAAAAATAATACAAATATTTGAAACTTTTAACACCCTGATTAAGTTGATTATTTTCATCGGTAGAATACGCCATTAAAGTTTGGCAAAACTTATTATTGACACCCTGTATAATATTTATACCCGCAAGCATTGGGGTCAATAAAAGTACAATTTCTTTCCAATATTTCTGGAAAAAAAGGTTCTTTCCGAAGTACAATTTTTTAATATCGCATTTTCTATTTGTATTTCCTTATTTCTTTTGAGTTTCAACACAGAGCAATCGACCAGTAAGAAAATTTTGCTGCGATAATCTGTATTATAATAGCAATTTTTCTTATTGTGTTGCAATATTATGATATTGTAACCATGCCCAATAAATTATACGTTAAAAATACAATTTCCCCCTTCTTTTTATGAGGCAAAAAAATCAATAAGGCGTCCATAAAAAAACAGAAGTTAATTACCGTTCGTCACACATTTACCGAAAGCAAAAATCGATGCCTCACATTTAATATAAGACTACACATTTTTATCCTAAAATTTTGAAAAACAAGTGAGATACGACTAGAAAACGAAGTAGAAATCGGTTTCCTTCGAATATCTTCGAACTATTCGGAATTTTCTAAATTTAAAAACAAATCCGTGACTGGCATAAAATTCTGCACATGTTTGCTCATTTAATTGTTTCTGTATCTCTTAAAATAAGAAAGATACCTGTATAGCACAATTCAAAAAGTTGTAACCGTGTATATCACTTTTAGCTCAACAATATGACTAATTGTTAATTTAATGTTCATACAGCTGAATCTATTACGAACTAGCTCGTTCTAACTCGGGTCAATCCGATCGGTTTTGTTTATGTTGACCACCCACTCGTGATGACATAATCTAATGTAGTTCGCATCGCTCATATTTTGGAATATCAATATATTTTTAATGTGATGCTTTTAAATAACAATTAGTAAAATTAAAGCTAGTAATTAATTTAACCTCTTCTCGTTATTAAAGTAATTAAAGTTTATTTAGGTGCTTCTTTTCTTGCTGTGAATGAATGAATAACAAATACACACATTTAAAATTCCATAGACATGTTACCTGTTCGGAGATAACTTCTATCATTAACTGGGTTCATAATGAGTCATCTTTGCACGGTGGCTTAGGAGAATTGTATCAACACCAACAAATACTTATGGCCATAAATCAGAAGCCGTTTAATGATCTTGTTTTGCTTATTAAACGTAACCATTTATAGTCCATTTTAAACAACGCGTTTATCGAAGATTTCTTTTCTTAATTCGTTTTCTAATATTGTCATTTTCACCGCACTTCGCGTTGTTGACGCTTCGCCTGTAGGGAAGCTCTTAGTCCAATTAACTAAGCCTTTAAATCGAAATTTTGTCAACTTGGCTGAATTTTTGATATGAGTTAGTTTAAGGTATATTATAACAATAAGTGAGAGTAATTTTTTGTTCAACCCCCGGCCAAGGGTGGAAAAAGATAAAACAAAGGACTTTTTCAAGATAACTCAAAAAGGGTAAGAGCTAGAAAAAACTTGTACTATTAAAATTAACAGAGTTAGGGAGGCTAGAAGTTAAGGGAAGATTTCAGAAATTTAATTTTGTTAAATCATTAAAATTAACGATTAAAAATTTGATTTTTTGTTATAACTTTCTTATTAAAAATTAAAAAATATATCTATTTCTCTGAAAAGAAAAGTTACATATTTTAGAGCAGATTGAAAAAAAAAATTACAAAATTCAATCATTTTTCTGTTTGTTATGATTTTTTTTAAATTTCTGATATCTTCCCTTAACTTCTAGCCTCCCTAACTCTGTTAATTGTAATAGTACAAGAAAAAGTTAAGAGGCCATTTTTATGTAGAATTGTCTGCTTTACAACTTTCATGAAACTTTTTTTTCTAGCGCTTACCCTTTTTGAGTTATCTTGAAAAAGCCCTTTGTTTTATCTTTTTCCACCCTTGGCCGGGGGTTGAACAAAAAATTACTCTCACTTATTGTTATAATATACCTTAAACTAACTCATATCAAAAATTCAGCCAAGTTGGCAAAATTTCGATTTAAAGGCATAGTTAATTGGACTACTCTGTCGAAAAGGATTTGCCGCTCCATTGGCGATTGGATCCTTCTTTGACAAATCAATCAAAAGCGGTTATGGTTTTTTTCGCACTTCCAGCGAAAAATAAATGTGTCTACTTTCACTTTCTAGTTTTTTCGAGGCAGTAGATGTGGGTCGGTGTACGACCGCTCGACATGACGGGGTTGCCACTAAACTGAAAAACCTGTTAGTTTTTGTGAAATTTCGGTATACATTTTAATGTATTTGTCACATTTAAAATCGATAATAAGGAAAATGAAAGCAGTTGTCACATAAGTCCAGTCATTATGTATAGGGTGTTTGTAATAAGTGCGAAATATTTTAGGAGGTGGTTGCTGAAATTATTTTATGAAAAAAAGTTCATATAAACGTAGATCGAAATATGCTCTGTTTCCGAGATATAGTGTTTAAATTTAAATTTTTTGTTTATTTTTATTAATTATTTCAAAGAGTTCTAAAGATATTGCCTCAAAATTTGTTGGTTGTATTTTATTTAGAAATATTGACAGCTACCTACTAGATAATGTATCAATAGAAATTAAAAATACATAACTTGCAGTAAAATATGTTTTATTTTTTTCTTCAAAAACGGTGCATCCTACCAAAAAAATTGAAGAGATCAATTTCATTCAGAATTGATAGCGGATTTCTAAAAAAATATCAAAACGGGAAAAAGTCAGCGGCGCAGCATTTTTTTAATTAAAAAAGGTTGGTGGCATTCTCGTACGAACGCCACTGGTGCAAGTAGAAATATTCGGATCACCCCAAAAAATGCATATTTATCCATCCAAAATGTTTTTAAAATTTCGAGTCAATATCTTTAAAACTCTGAAATAATTAATAAAAATAAATAAAAAATAGAAATTTAAACACTCTGTATGTCGGATTTCGATCTACGTTTATATAAACTTTTTTCACAAAATAGCTTAGGCAACCACCCCCTAAAATATTTCGCACTTATTTACAAACACCCTGTATATTTCACTGCCGTCATACAGGACGTTTCCCTATTCCCTGTACATAGAACTATCATGGTGACTTTAAAATAACACGTCGCTTGAGTCATAACAAAAGCTATCTGTTTTTTACTGAATTATTTTCTCTAACAGTTGGTTTAAAAAGATATCTGGCAACACTGATCAGTGTCTTGTTTTCAATCACACTGATCAGTGTCTTCTTTACAAAAATTTATGTGCGGTTTAAAAATAGTTATAAGAACTCGTAGAGAGAATAGATCTATAATTTGATAAAAAAAAGTTTCAGTTTCAGTTTAGTAGTCTACGTGCTATTATCAGTTATAATATCACAAGAGCATAGAAAATATTCAATTATACTTCCGAGTAAAAAGACGTATTCTGCGAAACACCACGACAGCGTAGCTGGAGTGGTGTTTTAAGGATATACGTCGAGTGAGGAGGTTAGTATAATCGAATATTTTCGTTTGCTCGAGTGGTATTCGATACGATTATATAATTCAGAGCTTGAACCGAAGCGTTCCATTTTTTTTTTGACGTTTATTGACAAATGTTAAAACTATCGTTACCATGACATAGTTCACATTGTTGGAGGAGACGAAACACCAAAACGGTTATACCACGTCGTCAAGAGTATAATCGCTTATCAATACATAGTAACTACGTAAAATTTGTAATTGCAATTGGCTAAATTTCTAATGAATTATATAATCTATAAAAAACTGACCCTCACATAAAGTTACACTCAGTATTTGGCCCAAATATCATATTTTGGCTTCAAGATTATAAGTAGGGCTGTCAGAGAGAGCCGCAATTCAATGGCTTGCTAAGTGGGTCAACCGAGACATGCGTGAGCCGCTGCCTCAGAATGCTTTTCATGTTCACGTCACGTCAGTATACCGTTGCCTTTGCCATCGTGTGGATGTTGCGTAATTAATTCCTATCCGTTGATGTTTATGGTGGTGTATTGTAGACAATTTAATTGGTTGCTTTTTAATAAATAATGCGTACGCCTATGTCCCGCGGCTCAGTTCTGACAGTCTTAATTATAAGATAGTATTTGTGTTCCTTCATTTCAATACACCGCGAAGAAGTTAATTTTTTTTTCTTGGTACTTTTTGATATTTTGTTTCATTTTAATTTTATAAAAAGTAGTTTTCATTTATTTCTTTTAATTTCTCATTCGTACGTTATATTTTGAATTAACCAGAGACGCGCTTTGCTTAGTGTGTCTCTTGGTTCAATTTTTTTGTCATTATTCTTTTGTTTCCTTTACTGTTTCTTATATTCTTTTTTTAAACCAGTTCTTGCTTACTTGTTTGTCGCGTATTGCTACGAAATAAATATTTGTTGTACTGTTAATCGATGTTTATGTTAAAAATTTAATTTACTGGAATGATTTGAGTATTATTTTTCACATTTCTCTTTAGTACCTAGTCGGAAGTTAGCGTCGGTTTCAAGGAGGCGACTGCTCGCCTATCTTACCCATTGACTGACCGCGCTCGATTGAACCTTCTCGTTTTGCCTTGCAGGAAAGCGATGGGAGGCATGCGGCAGTCGGCGCGCTGCTCTCTCCCATGGACACCATCTTCGTGAAGCACGTGAAGGATCGCAGTCCGGCGAAGCAGGCGGGCCTGCAGCGCGGCGACCGCCTGGTGGCAGTCAACGGCGTGCCCATCAAAGACAAACCGTACTCGCAAGTGGTCCAGTTGATCCAGAACAGCCCCGAATACCTTCACCTGCTGGTCGTGCCCAAGGAGGAGGACGTTCTGCAGAGGGTAAGGGCGTTTGCGTTATTTTAATGCCTTTATACAGAGCCTTGCAAGCCACGTGACCAATAATTTTATTTCTTTTAAGTTGGCAAATAAATTTCCATAAAATTCTACCAATCAGCGATCGCATTACCTCGTAGACGTAACGGTTTGTCGTTGTTCATTGTAAACGAATTATTATTGTTGGTGATTCTAAGTTTCAAGGATTTTTAGTTGACGGTACCAGCCGTGCAATGTTGGTTGCTTGTGCTCGGTGGTCACGTGGCTTCTAAACGTTTATAAGGGCTCTTGAGAAAAATTTTCGAAAATGAAACAGTGTTTTCGACTTACTTTTTGCACTCAACACGGAGATGAACTTATTGCGCACCCCAGTGCAGTGGAAAAGTGCGAATTAGTTGAAAAAAAATTGAATGCTTACGAATTCTTTTCAAAAGATTGACCAAAAGTTGTAAAATATTAAATTTTTTGTTTTTGAGCGTTTTATGCGAAAAAAGTGATAGCTACACAATATATGATGACGTGCTAGATATTTATATACAGGGTGTGATAGTACTCATAAAAATTTTTAAAAAAGGTTCCTATGAGCATACGTCCACAAATGCGTAATAAGGGATCTAGGATCCTTAACAGAGTAAACTTATAAAATATTTTTTTTATCAGAATGTTTAAAATGTTTAAAATAAGCCAAATTTTCACGAAAATGTTCACACTTGTATAAATTTTGCCCGTAAAACAGCTTCAATAAATGAATGGTCTAATCGGAAATTGAGAATAAGGGTTGAGAGTTATTTTTTATTGCAAAAAGAACTACGTACATATTTACACAGAAAAAGGTACTCTTATTTTATTTTGTATTATCCTAATAAGATCGTGGTTTTAAATTTGTTTTGAACTCATACTTTTTTAAAATTGCACGAGTTGACTTAAATCAATTTGAAAAGCACAAACATGTATTATTTCCTAAATCGTTCAGTGTTCAAATTTTGTACCTACATACAGGGTGTTAATTAAATATGTACAATAAATACAACAAACGATTATTTGAGTGATTTTAAAACAAAAAGTTCATATAAACATTGGTCCGCAGATGCTTCGTTTTCAAGATAAAGGGTGTTAAACTCTTGTAAAGAAATTGCTATTTCGTAAATATCTTAAATACCCATTGCCCAATTTTGTTGTAATTTGTCAGTGTCACTTGTAGTGTTAAGGGGCTATTTAACCCTAACTTGATTAGATTTGTTAAGTCCAGTGGCGTCGCGAGCGGTACCTTAACGAATATTTTTGACATAAAAAAATATACGCCACTGACTTTTTTGTAATTTTTATATATATTTTTTTGGATTAAGGGACTAAAAATACAACTTTTGTGTCTCTTGAATGTATAACAATGTATAACACTACCAAATTACAACAAAATTGGGTAAAAGGTGTTTAAGATATTTACGAAATAACAATTTTTTTACAATAGTTTAACACCCTGTATCTTGAAAAAGAACCTTCTGCGGACCAATGTTTATATGAACTTTTTGTCTTAAAATCACTCAAATAATCGTATGTTGAATTTATTGTACATACTTAATTAAAACCCTGTATATGCCAGTTTTTTCAAGTAAAATATTTACTTTATTGTCTTTTTTGACGAAATTTTAAATTTGGAGTATTTAAGTAAACCAGTATGAAAGTATTTGTTAGTCTTGAAGAGCTACTTGAATTTTCAAGTACTTGAAATATAACTACTTGGTTTGACTTGACAGTCAATCACTGTCACCACTCTACTTGATTTCGTGTCAAGTACCTAGATCGGAAGTCAACTGAAGACGTGAATTCTTACTCCGGAAAATATGAACAGAAAAAAATAAGAGATCGTTTTAGAAGTGACATGGTACAGTTCTGATGCAACTTTTTCGAATACTCCATATTAATAGCGTAACACAACTTAAAAGTTCTTTTTTTAAATAAATATTTTGCCATATTTTATTTTTTTTTAATTTTGTCTATTTTATTAACTTTCCGAAAAAAACACGTGTAATGTGTTAAAGATTTCACAATCCGGAAAAAGAATGGAAAAAATAGAGAAATTTAAAAAACAAAATAAAAACACTAAAAAATACTTAGAATAAACCCCAGTGAGTATGAAAATAACATATATTTGTAATTGGGGTGCCCCAAACTCAAATAGAAATTAACAAAAGTATTATTTCATTTCGTTTTTCGTTTTCATTTATTTCATTCGTTTCATTTAAAACAACAAAGAAAAACAAATTATCAGTTCTTTGTAACTAAAAAAAAAATACTTATTTAAATTTTTTAAGCTATTAAAATTAGATTTTTTTGTAGATATATTCCGTTATTAATAATCGGTGAACAAAATTTGAACAATGTCGCATAATTGAAAAAAGTTATGATGAAACATAATTTATTTAAAGAATAACTTTGAGGTTATGTAATTCAGATAAAATTGGGCTTTCGGAAAAATGTCATATGCACTACCGTTATTTTGTGAGTAGAATCATCCCTTGAATGTTGCTTATATAATTCCAGACACTGTATACAGTGTGTTCCAAGATAAATATACTGGAAGATGTCATTATAAAAGTTCTTGTTTATCGTCAAGTTCTTACTATTTTCTTGATTTCATATACAGGGTCTTACATTTTTGAAGAGATTTATAAGGGACACCAAATGTTTTGAAGTATCGTAAAGTGTGACAAGCAAATATTATTAGTATTATCAAAAAGGCTGTAAATATGAAGCATCAGTTGTTTTGCGAAAAAATACCTTATTTCATATCACCTCGGTAGCTTAGACACACTTATGATCCTAGTAATTACATCAGAAACTGATGAAATGATTAATAAAACGTCATTAAATCCAAATCGAGACTTCTAGGAAACCATAAACATTTACTGAATGTTTTTGTTCCATTTTTGGATTGTGTGTTGTATTTAAAGTCATTTTAAATTATGAAGTCCTGCTTTATATTATAACAATGAAATTCGTAATTGTTTCTTGGTATTTCTTATAGGCTGTTAGGTTTTAGGAGACATCCAACATTTTTTAGATTAAAATACCAAAATTTCAAAATAATTCTGCAACCTTCGTAGATATTTTTATCTTGTCAGTGCTGCGAGAAACAACTACTCTGAGAGCTATTTGCCCCTACCAGCATTGAATTATACTCGCAACACCTAGTGCAACAGGTAGGATTATTTGTCATCAGTCAACCCACCAGGTGTGCCTTCATTTTAAAACTAATCCGAAATAAACGACAGCGGATATCAAAAACCTAATAGATCTAATGAATTGTGATTTTATCTTTTTTTTTTCTTTCAGTTTTTCGCCAAAACGGCATACAACCCTGCCTCCAATCAGCCAATTTACCCCGAAACGCCCCTAGACCGCCACACCGCCCAGCAGATCATCTCCCAGAGGATCACCCAGCGCGCTCCCGAGTTCCAAGTAGACGCCATCTCCTGGCGATCCCTCCAACAGCCCTACGGCCAAACCGAATTAGCGGCGCTGCAAAGACCTAACTACGAGCGCGGCCAACGCAGCGCGGACGACTTACTATACTCGGAACCCCGACCTAGGGCGAACCAGATCAGTCACCAACAGGAGATCTACGCGGAAATCCATCCCCATGATATCGGCCACCGCCAGAAGAGCCGGGCGGTCCCCCAGGTGCCCCTCTACAAGAAGATGGGGCGAAGGGCCAGCGAAGGTAGCATGCTGTCAGATCGGGAACAGTTCGAGCCTCCCGACTACTACAGTGTGAACAGCAGCGACGTGGACGATTACAACATGAAAGCCATCTACAAAAGCAATTACTTGCCGGAAACTTCACAGAATTCCGACATGCCGGGGTTGAACTACCCCAACACGGCCAACTACAGGCTGAGCCTAGACGGTGGAAGAAGGGAATCCACCGGTTCCTTGTCTTCCTCCCTCGCCGATGGCAGCAAGGACAGTCTGGCGTCCTTCGGGTCCAGCTCCACGCTGACCGGTCAAGAAAAGGACGACTACATCATGAGCAGGTTCAGGAAGAACGTCCAACAAAAGGAGGAGTTCCTCAAGATGCCTACCAACGCCGAGCAAGCGGCTATAAGGCGCGAGTTCTACGGCAGGCCTAAGAAACTGGAAAGACAGATGTGGCCTCCCAACGAGCCTATTAGGCAGGAATCTCCTTCCAGGACGACCAAGCCCACCCATCAGAACTTTTTGCGAGTGAAAAACGACATCGATATCGAACGAGACCTGACGGTGCAGAACCAGAACGGTCACCAAATGGTGAGCGGTGACGCGGCGTATATGGTGCCCCAGCAGAGGATGGCGGCTTCGCCGAGAAATAGGGCGGGTTTCGGGAGCGTTGAGAGGGCCTACGAGGCGTCCACCGCGCCTGGTGGTTTCGATGACGTTGAGGATGTTAATGGAAGCGCGGCCTTCCAGGATGCTTCCGGCGAAGTTACAGAAGAGAAGAGGTGAGTGAATAATCAGATTATATCTTCATTTTGTTCAACTCATTTGAATTCATAAGTTTCCTCTATGCTTACTCATTTTTTGGAGTTAGCAAGTCTTCTTTTTCGTTTGCAAGCGTTTTCTATTCATTGTCTAAGTTCTTGCTCATAAGAAAAAAAAACACCTAGAGATCTTGCCGGATCCTTTTCAACATTTCTAGAATCTCTTCTCTCAATTACAGCCATTGCGCGAGTTGTCCTCGTTACCCCTCTTAAACACACCGTACTATGACACTTTTCCTTTTTAATTACATATTTCTTCATTTACGGGGAATGTGGACAAATTGCAGCCGCTACAATTAACTTAATTCGCAGTGTCCGGTAATTTCCCCGCGCGAGATGCTGCGACTGCGCGTTGTCGACACTCACCGTAAATCAAAAAGCGTGTTTACAAGTTCATTGTTTTGGAAAACGTGTACCATTGTTTAAAAAACGCACAGACCAAAAGACCAAACAACACATAGCCTGTGAAAAGAAATTCCGGGAATTTGCATGTAAAAATGCGTCAAAACATAATTGGTTACTATGAATCCTATTTTCGACCATCGCCTTATAAATTGTTCCCTTAACCTTCTATACAACTTTGTTGGTGATTTTACCGTGATTAGAAATATCCATGAGTGGCTACTGGCGCCAATGTGTTTCTAACTTTTTATCTCTGGTACTGTCAAAATTACGTATTTTTAATTGAATCTACATTATAGGTCGTTTTCCTCACTTTTTTCAGTCACAATGAAAACTTCTAACTGAGTGTCGTGAACAATCTATGCAAATTATATTCCATGATAATGAATCTGTATACAATTCGTTTATAGTAAAACAGTTCTTAACAAAAAACAACCTGATCACATCTCCTGCGTCTTTTTCTTCTCCAAATTGGTTTTCTAATTAAAAGGGCGTCGTTCTGACTGCCTTCAAGACGTGATAAACTAGTCGCAACAAGTCATAAACACGTTAGCGCCAGTCACGATCGTGGGAAATAGGTCTTGTAACCACTATTTTTTCTTACAACCAAATTCTCGCCATTTTTGAGTGGAATCTCGTTCATATCAAAGTCAGCTAAAGATAAGACAACGCCTTATCTTGACGTTATCATGTCTCAGAGTTATTGCAACCGTCGCCGTCGGTCGCCCAAAAACTTCCCCAAATTAACTGTGAGCTACATAATTCATGTTTGCAATCACGATCTATTACTGTCTATTGAGTAAATCGTAAATATTTAAAATGAAACGCTGACATTGAATATATAAATCTTTATTTTTAAATTCTAAATCTGTTTCATCAACAACCGATTCTACTAATTCAATATAGTCTGGCGGTATTTCGTTTTGTTCCGTTTCAAAAGGTCTCCAAAATACCATGTTGTAATAATATTAGTAAACAAATTATCTCTCTTATTTCTCCCTTTCGCAATTTTAATATGAATGATTAATAGAAGGTGCCTATAATAAATTAAAATACCTGAGTCACACCAAATTCTGCATTGCTGCACTGCACCGCGAGGCCATTTGTCGACAAGCGAATTTATGGCCAGGTCGCCCAGTGCGGCTGTGTTTGTGCCGCGTTTTCCCGCGCCCTCATTCTTCTACCAGGCGACCAGACTTGTATATGGGTATGGCTAAATAAATATGGGAACAGGTTTTTTAAATATTTTAATGCCGAGTTGCTACATAGCGACCGAACCTGGTACATACTAGCTCTTTGGTCTTCAATTGAGATCGGAATGACTATACATGCAGAGTATTTATTAAAAGATGTTAGTAGGAAGCTCGAAATTATAACTCAAAAATATTACGACATAAAAGATAAATTATTTAAAAAAATATCAATTTATGATATCTCGACACACATGTCTACACAATGTAGTTTTTCATTCTTTAAACTCATGGTTTTACATGGAATATCGTGACAAAATGTTGCTTATTTTCAGAGATATTAGTAAAATTCATTAAAAACAAAATCGACTCCATGCATCTTGCAAGCGAAACACGATTGGTTCATAGTGATACAAAATAGTTTCATTTTTACTTCCTAGGATTTATAGTGCGTTTTCTTTTTCTTAATTTCAGTTGAATCGAATTCCTCAATATTTGTAGATGATTGAGCTTATTGTCATTTACCTTGCTTAAACATCTATGTTGCTATAAAAAAACTAAAGTGCCAAATTTAACAATCGATGAAATCGTGACTGATCCGAGTCTAAACACTTAAAACAAATTAGTAAAAACAAACAACGGCTGCACATTGAATGGAACCACAAGTGAAAACATAAGATTTGATAAGATTGAAATCTTTGAATTTCCTTACGGTTGTTTGTAGTATTAAATGATTAATTTTTGAGATCCACAGTTACATTTTTAAAGTGTTGATAGCAATTTCCTTAGTAACTTACACTTCGCGGACCGCAGGCAACTTCGAACAATGTGCCACAAAAAAAGGGAAAATCATTACCTCCTAGATTGTAAGGGCATACCGCTTCAAACGTGACGTCACTACAGTGGTGCTTCTCTTGATAAACAACAAAACGTATCATTAAGAATTCAATGAGACAAAATAGATATAAAATATACAGGTTCGGAAAGTCCCCATGGTTCATCGGCTGTTACGTGAGAGCGATAAAGTAAGTCATAGAAATCCGCGCGATAGAGAAGGATGGCTATAATGAAGGCGTCTCATAGTCTCCGCCCGTTTCGCCCTTCCACAAATAAGATCCACTTCCACTTGTAATTCAGCGACCGGTGGCCATCTTTGTTTTCGTCGTTTGCCTTTTCTGTAATAGATATCACTACTTATACAATTCCGACTTCGTATTCCGATATGTTAATACAATCCGTTAACAGAGGGCAGCACAATTTGTCTAAGGCGAGACGCAGCCCTAGAAAGATTGATGCCAGATCTGCCGATTTTTTTGGAATTGGGCAAAATAGGGAATTTTGCTTTATTCCTTGGGATTTTTAAGTCACTTTAAAAAGTATACTTAAATAACAACTAAATGAACTTTAAATGCAGCTGAGCACTATAATTTGAATAACTTCTCAGTAGGGGAAACAAGGTCACTAGATTTACAAACAAAGGTATCTACTAGCTACTGTAAAAAGTTTTCTTTGTTACGCGTTGTGCTGCCCTCTGTTAACGGATGGTATTAATATATCGGAATACTGAGATCGAAATTGTATAAGTAGTGACATCTATTACAAAAAAGCCAAACGACGAAAACAAAGATGACCACCGGTCGCTGAATTACAAGTGGAAGTGGATCTTATTTGTGGAAGGGCGAAACGGGCGGTGACTATGAGACGCCTTCATTATAGCCATCCTTCTCTATCGCACGGATTTCTATGACTTACTTTATCGCTCTCACGTAACGGCCGATGAACCATAGGGACTTTCCGACCCTGTATATCCTGTAGCTAATAGCATAATTTTAAACGAGAAAGTGTTAATAGAGAACGACTTACTTTTTGCTCTTTTGTATCATTATTACCATCCACGCAATACTACAGGAGGCTTTTCCTTTCAGGGTCTACCCCCCAGGCCTCCAGATCGTCTACAAGAGGGCGAAAGACTTCGAGAGCGGCCGCCCCCTACCGGAGGACGACCCGGTTCCGGGTAACCGCATGAATTTCTCGCGGAGCGAACTCGCCAGATTGAGTTCGAAGAAATTGGTGCCCAACGTGTGCGAGCGTGCCCAGGAATACGAGACTCGCACCGTGGAACCGAAGAGGGACACCAGCGGGACTTCCACGAATTCGGGAAATTCGGTGCTGAAGAGGATACAGAGGGACAGCAGGTCACTGGATAGCTCAGGTAGGACTGGTTTTTTTTTCGAGTAGTTAGAGGCTTTGCTTTAGAAGGTAGTATCTTAAGTTCCGAGTTGGTCGACAGATGGGTGGTTGAAAAGATGTTTTGCAACTCCGGATCGTTTAAAAAAATACCAGGATTTGGAAATTACAGTACCAATATTGCTAACATTAATTCTTCTGTGAAGATAATTGAATAAGCACAATTTTACATTTTTCCTAAATGTGATATTCAAAAATAAAATCTATTTTGATGTTCTAAATTTTTTTCAAGGCATGATAAAAAAACAAATTTTAAATTAATTTTTGCTGATCTACTTCACAATACGATGACTAGAGCTCGACATTTGAGTGGAAGTCAGTGGCGGTACTAAGAAATAATTTTACTACGTTAATTATATTAAAATAAATATTACCATTGTCTTAAACTTTGCAAGTAATTAAATGACTTCTGTGATGATCTTCAAGTATACTTTTTCAGTGAGGAATGCAACATATTTTGCTTTGATTTATTACACTGCCACACATAAAAAAAGATGTCTGTTCTTTTCATGCGATATGTTATACGTAGTATTTTTGCCTCCTGATCACGAATCCGGTGTTAGAATTGGGCTATCACATCACAGGAATTCCTAACCTCAAAAAACAGGTAAAAAATTCACGAAAAATTTTCTATATTTAAATGGTTAAGACCCCAGCGAACGTGAATCCGCAATCAGAATTGATAGTTCTTTTTCTAACCTCAAAAAAACGGGTCAATTAAGGTCAGATGTCACGAATTTTCAAAAAATAACATTCGCGCCAAATTTGCTGTTCGAGAGTTTCCGGGGTCGCTGATCACGAATCCGAGACCAGATTTACAAAATTCGTTATTAAAAATTTAATCAATTACCTATGTACTTTATTACCTAAACTTAGGCAGAAAACCCGTGAATAGATCTTTTACAGAAAAAAGAACAAGATATAGCCGAGAAAAAGTTTAAAACATGATTGGGTACTCAGGTTATAAAGTAAACAAAAATATTACAAAATGAAATTCGCAATTCTGACCTCGAAACCCCAGTATACCAAATTTGGCGCGAATCTGTTATTTTTTGAAAATTTGGTCGGCCATCTTGGATCCGCCATCTTGAATTTTGCAAAATTGCCCTCGGATCCGTGATCAGCGACCCCGAAAACCCCCGTATACCAAATTTGGCGCGAGTCTGTTATTTTTTGAAAATTCGTGATATCTGACCTTAATTGACCCATTTTTTTTTGAGGTTAGAAAAAGAACCATCAATTCTGACCTCGGATTCACGTTCGGCGGGGTCTGAACCATATAAATGACATTTAAATATAGAAAAAAAATTACTATTTTTCCTAGCACATTTTCGTGAATATTTGCTATTTTTGACCTGGTAAAAATACTACGGATAACATATGTCGCATGAAAAGTACAGACAACTTGTTTTTACCACTATCTTAGGACACACCTCTTTCCCCCTCTACCGCTTTGATCACGTGTTCGACCAGTTTTAATTGGTTGAATATTCAGATTGACGTGATATCCATCCAAATAACCAATCAGATTGCGGCGTTCGAATGACCAATCAGAACGCGGCATTCAAATTTGCGGGGAATTAAAAAGTAATGACAAATTTTAAACACGCTTTCATGTTTTTTATTTTCACTATTCATATGACTCAGTTTCTTCTTTTATCCGATGCATATGAAGAGACAACCAACAGCTTTGAAATACTGGCACTTAGGTGCCTATTCGTGCGAAAATAATCGAATTTATTGATCATCCCCACACACACCAAAATATTACATACCCAACATAAAAATTAACAGTCTATTCCTTTCATACCTGATTTTTAGTGCCTTTTCTACACATAAGAACTTCAGCTTCAGAAAATCGTTTCACAAACACAACTTTTTGTTGCTATTCCATAACAGCGTAAATCGGAAAAACATTTATAAATTTATTGTTTTGAAAAACATGGCTCGATTGAGAATTTTATTTAAATGTAGCCCCCCAAACTCTCCGCCTTATTTACGCACCGAAATGTCAAGCTCTTATTTATCATTGTTTTAAATTTATTCAAAGCATTATGTAAGAAACGTTTTAATTTTTTTTCTGTATGTTTAAAAATATACTACAATACATTGTGGTTATTTATACTACTTGCTACTTTGTAGTAAATTTCCCGTTTGACGTTTAGCAAAGACAATGGGTAATAAAAATAAAAATGTACCTTTAAAGCATACGTGATATGCAATTTTAAAATTCTAAACACGTTCTGTCATAGATATTTTATCAACTGGGTGATCCCTCGATGTATAATCAAAATTTTTGTGAGATTAGATGACGTTATTTACGAAATTAGAATAACCACAAAATTACACGTAATTTTTTAATTAATCTCCATCATCTGTTTATTTTGTTCATCCGGAAAAAGTACTTCAAGTGTTGTTTGTATTATTTGGTTTTTTGATGATTCGTTATCACATATTCTTATCTGTGTTCCCAATATACTTTATCTGTTTGTAAATTATGTGCATTTTATTTGAAATTCACCATAATAAGTCATAACCTAATTAATTTGGAACAGAGGGAATTTGCCAAAAAACAGTTTTTGTTTCATCTCGCCCTTCTCTACTTTATATCTGTTAACATCTCAGTATCTACGAATTATAAATGTTCCTTCCTTCCACGTCACCACTAATTTCCTGAAAGTAGTTCCGTTTGGCCTTTATTCAGTACTTTTTGTATGCATGTTTGTTGTCAAGTGGCACAAGACCGTGGATCGTTGTTTGCGACGTCGTTTTGTAGGATCTGCTTGTAGAAAATAAGCTCGCGAAAAGTGTCTCCAAAATAGCGGCTTCCCTGTTGGTTTTTACTTCAAACGCCGCCTTGTCTGCTGTCGATGTATTTATTACTAACTGTTAACAATGATGTTTCTGCTCTTGGTCAATATTCTCTATGTTAGTCTACACTTTCATTATTTTTGCTTAATCCAGACTACTAGGAAAATTTCATACTAGAAATATTTAGCTATCAAATAGGACATTCTAGAATGTATGAAGAATACTGAAAGTTTTTCATATAAAAGTTCGTTAGCTACCGCTATTAGCAAAAGATTATTACAATCAAATATCAATTTGAGTTTTTCGAAAGGATTCTTCTTTCAGAATATTAAGATCTTCAAAATTTCTTAAAAACTAATTATGTTTCTTTGGTTCATCTTTTCTCTACTAGTTCTTATAACACAGGCAACAAAAACTGGTCGGTTATACGGATAAGATCCATGCCACCTTATGTATCAGGACACTCAGAGACCAAATCTACTTTTCTCTCGACCCTTTTCTTTTTAATGTCAGGAAACCTAAATAGCAGTCGATGTATCATATTCGTGAAGTCATATGAAAGTTACTGCTTATTCTGGTTATTCCAAAACTCAATCAACCCTTATCTCAACATCCCCAGAAAACCACTACTACAATCAACTGATTCAAGGCACAAAGTTTTTTTTATCTACAACGCGTCTCCGCATAAGTGAAATCACTCGTAAGAGGAAAAAAAGTACCGGTTTTGCAAAGTGGTGTTCTGAGGTTCTGCTTGTTTCTAAAACAAAATATGACATGTTTCAAATCCATAAAATCCAGTATACCTCGAACATTTGGAAATTTCTGATATTCACCAATAATACTTCAAATTGGATAGAAATTCTTTATATTTGCCGTCAAAAACTTTTAAGTAATCTCAAACACCTTAAAAATATTTCAAAAACTGCAGAATACACTATAATAGCATCAGAGTTTATACTGTGCTTAGATCTACATTGAAATACATCATAATCCTTCGTGAAATATCTAATTACCTGGAAATTTTTCCCAAACCATGAAAACTTATATCTCCTGTCAGGTATTTAGACAAGTCTGAAGGTTTTCAAGGTTTCCATTGAGTGAAATTTAAATGTTTTATTTACAATGCAGCTATTTTGACATATTTAGTGGTTTTTAAAACATTTGGTCGAATTTTTAAGGCTGTTCTGATATATTTTGAACGTGATTCGATCTACTTTGCTGCATTTCACTGATGATATGAAGAATTTTTATGCAGGTTGATTTAAAGAAGAAAGCGATTTGCTTTTATTGCGAGGTATTTTTAATACAATATTTTCCAATATGCTTATAGTAAATCAAATGAAGTATCATTGATTTCCCTGATAGATTGTGTTTGTAAATGTAAAACAGTTTTAAAATATAATTAATTAAAAGAGTATTTAGTGTAAAAGTTCCACCATCCATCAACGACCACTAAGCCTCGACCGTTTGTATATATTTTGTTTAATGGTGAACAGGAAGCTACGAGAGCTGTAGTAGCATCATCGAGCTTCCACTAGGCGGCAGTAGAGGGCTTTCCGGAAATGTAATCATTTCCAGCGGAAGCAAATATTTGCACTGCCCACCGCCCCCGGATTACGGCAGCCAGCCCACAGGTTAGACTGTAACTAGGTGTTGGCGAGTCTTGGTTACCTTTTTTTTTTTATCCTTTCGACTTTATTAATGGCGGCATCTTCGCAGGCGTGACAATTAAATTCATTGGCTGGAGCGTTTCCTTCGCCATTGGCGTGCGGTTATAGTTTGTACTGCGTTATTGGATAGAAAATTTAAAACTTCTTCGATATTCAATTTAAGAACTGTTATTTGTACAAACGACTTTAAGCTAGAAGATACAACGAAATCGTCGATAAATTCGAATTTCTCATCCCAAAAAAACCCGGATACGAAATTTCACAAAATTAGTTCAAAGTAGTCGAAAGTTATAAAAGAAAATGTTATTTATTTTTTCAACTTCAGTTTTGACAATAATTATCATTAAATTGTTTTCTGGACCCAAAATCTTAAAATGAGGAAATAAGGAATTTTGAAAGGTTTCTAGCCTTATCAACCAATCTGAACTATTATTATTGTTTGAGTTTTAAATATTGCAATTTATTTGCTTAAGGAATTACCACTTTCTAATAGCGATCTTTTGGGACGTTTATACCCCGTTTACGGACGCCCATTATGCATCTAGTCGGCGTAGGATGACAGTCTCTGGCTCAGATGCTCGATTATTAATGATCGTCGTCATAATAACGCTTTCTTGGACTGCACCAGGAGATGTACTATTAGTTTTTTTTTGCAAAAGAAACATAAATTTACCGAAATGGAGAGAGTTGGTATATGCAAATCCCGTAGGTGTGTGAATTTCAGTATTTTTCCAACTTAATGGAAATATCAGTTCTCCAGGTACGCCTATTACAGAAAATTCATAATAATTTCATATTTCTATATTTGTACTGTTGCGGAATTACGTAAATGCACTTACTGGGCACTGCACCTAGATTAGTACAAATAGCATCTATTAATACCTGTTTCCTTAAACTATCTTCATTTAAGAAGTGTACCGTAAATATACTTTCTAATTTTGAAACAACAGTGCCCAAAGGAAGTTGGTAGTATCGATAGTATGTCTATTTTCGTATTACTCTTCATAAATTTAGTTTTCCATATATATGTGACTTAAATCTGGACTTTCAGCTGGCCAGGGTATTTCTAAATGATTGCGATATTCTTAAATAATAACACATTCTAAGTGTATATCAGCCATGGATTTAGAGTCACGCCTAGAACAATTTTAACGCCAAGCTACCGTTTGAAACCGAAAAAATTTGCAAGTGTTGCACCAATAACAAACAAATTAGCACTGCGTTTTTATTCTAATCCCTCAGTGCAACGTGCTTTGTTTGGCGTAATCCGCATCCCAATTTTGTTTTGATGTGTTTGCATAACAATATGTTGTCTGTAAAAAAATAATCTAGCATAATATTAATACCGTTTTGTTGTTTACTGATTGTTATTGTTTATTTTCATTTAACAGTTTGTGTTTGTTACGATAAAATGTAATAGATGATGTTATTGACAGCAGGTTTTTTGTACCTACAATAACAAATAATTCCCAATTTTTTTTCTCAATATTTATAATGCTAATATTATTTCCTTATTGATCTACTCTTTGTAGGTATGATATTCTTGTTGAATAAAAATTAATTCTCTAAACAGTCCCCATTTTTTCTTAACTTCTTATTTCATTACGAAAGACCATAGGCATTTGCCAATAGCAATTCATGTTCATCAAGTGTAGTACCATTTTGATTTTATTCATTTCATTACTTCTTCATTCTGAATTTTTTTTCATTTCTCACTTTCAACTTCTAGAGAACATCTTTAAATGTCCACAAAATCGACTGAATCGATCCACTAACAGATTTGTTACAGTGTTTTTGTTGTACTTAGCGTTTTGTTAACAAGAGTCTTAAAGACATGACCAGATGACTTCCGTTTACTGATATTGCGGATGTTACTTTCCAGACACGTCAGGGAATGAGGCGATTAAAGTTCGCGCCCGTTCAAACTCGGCAGAGTCGTGGGTTGCTGCATTGGGAGACGACCGCAACAAGGAGGGAGCCAAAAGGATCAGCAGACAAGATGCGGTCGTTACCGAGAGAAATAAGGCGAAAGGTGAGATCGTTGTTATTAGTAGGACCGGTTTGAAATAGCGCCGATAAAACAAATTTTCCGTTAGAATTACAGCCACATTCTCTTTTGGACCTCTTAAATTTTTATCCCTCTTAGAACACTTGCCTTGTAGAGAATCGAACAAAAGATAAACGATACTTTAAACGTCGACAAGTGTTTATCAACAACTTCCATTTTATAATTTCCGGACCTTGATCTTTCTGAAGTGGCGCTAATTCCCGAAAAAAAAATTGTAAAAACAAATCAAATCAGATCGCTACGATATGAGTCACACCTTGTTCGGGTGTTTGGATATACGTTTGGACTTTCATCTTTCAACGGTCGCAGAGAGGATTACTGTTATGAAATGCCTAACCTCAGATATCATCGCGAGCAGTTTCATGGTTATATGAACAGAATCCAAAAGTCACATAATCAATCTATAAATCAAAACACGATTCCTCTCTTCGAATATGATTGATGAGATGTACTCTCACCTATGGTATAAATGGATCTAGATTTTTATTTCTTTCAACCACTGGTAAAATTGAAACGGCTTAACTGTCTTCCGCAACCTGTTGTTTTTTTTTTTGTTAAATGTTTTTGAAGTTAAGCCAGTGATTGATCATTTGGACCCGTGCATCATTAATAACATTTTTAGTTTTATAGCATTGGATCACTAAATGATTCCTTTTGGTATGAAATAATTATTTCAAGTACAAATTAAATATCGACTAAGTGAATGTTGATTAATTGTACAATTTCTCTTATAACCGCACTTATCAATTAACATCAAATTAAAATTTTAACAAAATTAATATATTTGTGTAGGTTCCAGATGTACCTCTGTCACTTTTTCAATGTAATAAGTTGCACCGTAATTTTCAGTAGCCACCACTGCTTCTAGAGTATTTTTTTTTTGCTATATTGCACCTAATTTCAAGGGTTCCTACATACCCAGCATTTCTATGCACAGCCGCTTATAGATCTTTAACCCCAAATAATATCGGTCGATAGCAAATATCAGCAGTATTTAAGTTTAATGAAGCGAAAGAACTAAGAAAGAAATCATCAAATTTTCTATACGGGGTGTTCCACCTAAGAGGAATTCTTCTGTAACTATAAAATTTATAAATAAAAATGGTTTTAATAAAAGTTGGCTGGAGTCATGTGGTCCTTGGAAAGAAAATATTTTTAGCCTTACAGGGTGTTCCATTTCGCGTGGGCGCTACATAACTTTGTTATTTTAAATAGAACACCCTGTATATTATTGCATTTTTTAATTCCTTGGTTAATATTAGGTAGAGTTTATTAAATGTACATGGTGTTTAAAATTTATCGTTTTCGAAATAACACAGGTCAACATTTGGTCTAGGGACAATCGTCAGAAGTGACTGACGAATCCGAGGTCGGTTAAGCTCCATCACATTATGTTCAAGGTGATTTGAAGGTCAAATCAAGAAATGACCTCCAAAAAAATATGAAAAAATTCATGCTTATGTTTTAGAGGTCACTGAACCCGAATCCGAGGTTTGTTTACCCCTACGATACACCCTAGAGGTCACTCAAGGTAATTTCAAGGTCATTCATTAAGTATTTTGGATAGAAAAGTTAAAATCAGTCTGAAAAATCTGAAAAAAATCGTCTGAATGTTTTTGAGGTCACTAAACGCGAATCCAAGGTAATTTAAGCTCCATCACGTCAGGTTCAAGGTGATTTCAAGGTTAAATTTGGAAAAAGTTGTATAAAAAAATTTAAAAAGTGTATTGGAGTGTTTTCGGGGTCACTGAGTTGATCTGGAGGTTATTAAAGGTCTTCAAAGAGTTTCCATCTGTCTACGTATAACCATCTACACGTTTGTATAGAAGCATGAATTTTTTCAGATTCTTTGGAGGTCATTTCTTGATTCATTTTTTAAACATGCCAGTAAATAATGACACTGTCAGTCCCAGGCCTGATAAAATGTGAGAGAAAAGTGGTTTTGCGAGGCCTTCTTAATGCTGTTAAAATAGCTACTTTTTCGGACTTTAGAAAAGAACCGGATTTTTTGGAAAACTGTTAAAGATAAGTATGGACAACCTTATATCAGTAGAAAGGGCATTCAATTTTGCATTCACGCATGACAATTAATATGGGTCATTTCATTTGAAAAAAAAAAAATTATTAAATGTAGGTCTCAGTATTTCCGAGTCTGAATAACGTACACGTTTTGCTCACAAATGACAAGATAGAGTAATTTATGCCAAAATGAACTGCGAAAACTGCAGGTTTCTAACTCTTACGATTTAGACGTTATCTAGCCTCTTTAAACACCATGTACATTTAATAAACTCAATAATATTAATCAAGGAATTCAAAAACGCAATTATATACAGGGTGTTCCATTTAAAATAACAAATAAGATATGTAATCATTTTTTATCAATTTTACAGTTGCAGATTTACAGAGAATCCCTTTTAAGTAGAATACCCTGTATATGTTGGTAGAGGGAGATGTGTAATTTAAAAAAAAATCTGTCGAAGTTATTTTTACCCTCCAAACGTTATTTTCCAAAATATAACAAAAATTGGATGTCATCTACGTTTGCGACGATACAACTCTCAACACAAAACAATGGAGCCCAAAATACTTTCGCACTCTAAAAATTTTTTTTACTCCCGTCAGAAAGCGAAACCGCCATGGACGTTACAGCACACCCCCCGTACGGCGACCTACCTCCCCTCATTCCCGAACCCGTCGAGCACATCCACCTAGCCCCCACGGTATCCATCACGCCCGCCCCCGCCACCGCCGACCCCAGCAAGGCCGTCAGGCCCACACAGCTAGACCTCGAGGGGCCCGTAAGGCCCGCCAGGCACCTGAAACCGCCGTCGACGAACGTCGACTCCCCCGTAAGGCGGTCCAGCTCACCGAATTGTGAGTGCAGAAGTCGGTTTTGTTATGGGACCACTAAAACGTTTTGATCAGACCGCTAGCTAACACTCCCGGATGATTCTTTAATGATTTCGTTGAGCTTAGTTGAGATTTTTATCAGAAGCCACAAAACGTACCATGTCTAGAGTTAAAACAGTTTAAAGTCAGTGTGCTTGACTGTGAAGTGAAGTGGCCACTGCTTACGCCTGATTTATACCCTTTAGACTGGACTTTACGGGGATGATAGCTAATCTAATTGTTCTTTTCTGGGTTTTACTTGGATGTACGTACAAACTGTTTTTGGATAACCATCCAGTAATTATTGTATTTATTTGGCTTATGTAGAGGGTGTAACAGTGACGTTCCAACAAAGAAATATACGGAGTCGCGAAAATGACATAAAATGATCCACTTTTCAATTTTAATTTTTATTTGTAGCAATAAAATATCCAATAGACAAAATATAATAAAGTAAAATAAATGAAAAATCCTTTTGCAGGCTTCAATCTTAACATTCCCTTCAGACAACACCCTTTCCAGATGTATATTAAAAACGGTAAATTTAATTTCAGAAACCACCATTTCAAATGTTATTAATATTTTTGTAATTTCATCAATTTGATTTCAAAAAACTAAAATATGTGTGACCCAGGTTTGTCTCGAAGAAGGTTAACTTTTTTACTTGTAAATTTATGAGGAAATGTTATTTATAAAATTTTGCGGTGGTGCTAGTTCTAAAAACACGTAAAAACGTTTGGGCGGGACGTTTTCTTGTCCAAAAGGGATTCCAAGAAGATCGTAAAAATCGTAGAAATCCCGATATCATTTTAGACCAGGGCGGATATGTTTTGAGGTGGATGTGAGAGGGGGCAAGCAAATTTTTTCAATACAACTCACATAATAAAAGTGTAGATTCCTAGATCTGGGCGAGGTCCGGAACATTTACAAAATTGCAAAAATGTTTAAAAATTTTAAAAAAATACCTATTTTATCTGAGTTTTTTACTAATACCTTGAAACCCATGCATTTTTAACAATTATTGAAGAGGAAAAAAAGTTTTAGAATTGAAATTTGCACAATATACTGTAGGTTAAAAATGTTAAAACTTATTACCGATGTTGCAAAATAGCAAAAATTGTTGAAAAAAAGGCAAAATAATCAAGTTTTTTGGATACTGTTTTTTAAATAATTTAATTCTGAGGGTATTCTAATTTTGTTAAAAAAAAACTTTAGAGTATAATAAAACAACACCAAATTTCATTAAAATCGGTTCAATAGTTTTCGCAAAATAATTTTTTGAAAAAAATTTTCAACACAAATAAAGCGTCTAGATACTTGAAAATTTTTTCACAGAAAATACCGCTTAACCTTCCAAATGGTTTTTGAAAAATTGAAATCGATTGATTAGGACGCCCACAGAAAATTTTTAAAGTTAACACTTTTCTTAATTTTTAGACAATTATATTACATTTACAATTTGCAATTTAGTTTTTTTCATTGAAAAAGTTTGTTTACATATATATTTCAACACCCTGAATATTAATGTAGGTATTTAGTTATAATTATTACAATTATTTAAATAATTTTTGTTTAAACAAATTAAAAGAAATTTTTAGTTGAAAATTATTTTTGTTAAATTCAGATAAAATTTAAAAAAAAATAGTATTTTAAAATTATAATTTTTGAAAAAAACTAAATTACAAATTGATAAATGTAATCTAATTGTTTACAAATAAAAAAGTGTTAACTTTAAAAATTTTCTGTGGTCGTCCTAAACAACTGATTTCAATTTTTCAAAAACCATTTGAAAGGTTGAGCGGTTTTTTCCATGTGAAAAAATTTTAAAGTGTCTAGATGTTTTATTTGAGACTGGGCTATATTTTGAAAATTCGAAAATTTGTTATCAAATTTTTGTTTAAAAAATTGTTTTGCGAAAACTATCGATCCAATTTTAACGAAATTTGGTGTGTTGTTTTATTATACTCTATAAAGTTTTTTTACCAAAATTAGAATGCCCTTGGAGCAATTAAACAATTTTAGAAAAATTACCCAAAATTCTTGATTATTTTACCTTTTTTCATCAATTATTGCTATTTTGCAACGGTAATAAATTGAAACATTTTTAACTTCCAACATATTGTGCAAAATTCAATTCTAAAACTTTTTTCCTCTTCAATGTTCTTCCAAAATGTATAGGTTACAAGATATAAGTAAAAAACTCAGATAAAATAGGTATTTTTTTAAATTTTTAAAACACTTGCAATTTTGTAAATGTTCCGCACCTCCCCCAGATCTAGAGATCTACACTTTTATTATGTGACTTGTACTGAAGGTATTCCAGCAAAAATTAGCTTGCCCCCTCTTACATCCAAGAAGGGGGATATTTCGACAGATCCGCCCTGGTTTATTTGGTATTCAGTTTCTGACATGACTATGAGAATGATAAAGTCTAAGCTATCTAACTGATAAGACTTTTCGATGATGCAAAATGTTGATGTGCTTTGCTCTTGATCTGTATCAGTTGATCAACCTACATCTTGTCCATCAAGAAAATAGTAACATTTTAGGAGTTTAAGAAGAAGCAGAGCATTATTTGAAGAATGACATCTTATCATAAATCTTCAGAAATGTAAGAGGATGACGAACAAAAAAACTACTGTTTTGTCAAACTTGTCAGGCTGATTAAGTATCTTCAAAATTAGTTTGAACATCTCTGTTACACCAGTTAGATAAATTTAAAATGTAATCCGGTTAAATAACTGCACAATTAATAAGCTACGAGTTCTTGCACCTAGGTAGTCTCAGGTTATTCCACCCTTTGTTTAAGTAGCTGAAAATTAATTTGCAAACTCGTTACCGGCACTCGAGAAGTACGAAACTAATTTTCGATATCTAACATCTATTTCCGAACACTTACAATCATTACAGAATCATCTCCACAATGTAACAGGCTTTATTAACAGTAATTTACTCCTGAGCTTTTTATCTGATAGATTAACTCTAATAACCCCTCAGCACCCGGCATCTGGTTCTTTGCGTTACGTCCTGCGATAATTTCGATTTTGCTCACCCGATCACACGCCGTCTAATACATTTTTTTTTAATTTTCCGCTTTTCGTTTTGCAGTGGGAGATAAACCGGTTGTAGTTAAGAGGAGGACTAAAAATACTAACATAGGTAAGTATAACCTCACATTCTTAACAGATCATCAATAATAATTGCTCGAATGCCATAAAATTTGTCTATCTACCAGTGTTCAGCATTTCCAGTTTCCAGTTCGTGCATTTTTTGTTTTTCTACTTCTAAACAATCAGTCCCCATGAAAATGTTGACATCATTTTGTAATACCATTTGCAATAATTGCTGCTTGCTTATTTTTAATTGCAATGAATGATTGCAACTAACTTCATATTAATGATATTTTCTTTAAATTTCAACTTCTTTTTTGTCTAAAATATTCCAAGTTATTGCAAAATTCTTCGATCAATCGTTCTCTGCCCTCCAAAATAATAGGTTTTTTATGTTTGATTTTGTTTGTATGAACTTCTACCATCATGCACCATAAAAACCACCTGAACCCGCTTCTGTGTACCAATAATTGCAATATTGACAGGTTATCTTTTCCCTCGTTTCTATTTCCGTTATAAACCAGCTGCTGCTCGAGTTAGACATACGTTTTTATCGTTTATTCATATTCATCGCCTTAACTTTTTTTTTATAGTATGAACTATTTTGTCACTCATAATCCCAACTCATAGGCTACTGAATAGAAGATTTTAAATGGAATTATGACGTTAAAGATATTTTATTACATGAATCGTTCAAATGATCATTTAAGATGAAAAAACCGGGGAGTGCTATTAAATTAGAGGGTGGAAATTGGAGATAGTGGTGAAAATGCACCCCTTTAATTTTTTTAATTGTAGCTCGAAAGCGAAGCAAAATTTCGCTATAGTTTATAGGAAAAATTGTTTAGAGAATTGAATTTCCCATGGAAATAGCTTATTTAAAAAATTTTAAAGGAAAATTTTATGCAAAAAAATCGTTAAACAATTTGAAAAACATCAAAAAAATTAGATTTTCTGTTTTTTTTTACTTTTTTGCCTCTAGTTTTTTTTTTGAGTAAAGATAGCTATAGGCATTGCTTCATAGAAAAAAAATTAGATAAAATTTCCTTCAAAACAAGATGTAAAGTAGTTTTGGATGCAAATTGACTGATATATTGCCGCTCAAAATTTTTCGATTTTCGTCGCATTTACCCTTATGCATTTTAATTCTCATTTTTTGCAAAAAAGGAAGGAAATAAGACGTTCAAGGATTTTCATCAAATGACTTAGGGTCATTAAAAATTAAAAAACCGCTGGGTGCTATTAAATTAGAGGGCTGAAATTGAAGATAGGGGTAAAGCACTTTTGCAGTTTTTTAAATATAGCACGAAAACGAAGCCAAATTTCGGTATAGTTCATTGGAAAAATTTTGTAGAGAATTGAATTTCTCATCGAAATGGCTTATTTAAAAAATGTAAAAGGAAAATTTTATGCAAAAAATCGTTAATAAACAATTTTAAAAAAAGCAAAAAATTAGATTTTTTTATTTTTTTTTACTTTTTTAATAAAATAATTTAGTAAAAAAATGAGAATATAAGTACAATAAAGTTTATTAATAATGTAAGTATACACAGTGTGTCCACGGATGGTGTTGACAAGAGGAGAAACTCTTTTGTTTTTGATTTTATCGAAAAATGTAACTTTATAAAAAGTTTTACCCCTCGAAAAAATGAGACTGTCATACAAACATCTTAGATTAGATATACAGGATGCTCATAAATTAAAAAAAACACGAAAATACTCAAGAGAGAAGTACCATTATTTATTTATTTTACACAACATCTTTATAAAACAAATCTATTTATAACCTCAAATAATGTCCTTAATACATATAGCTATACATATAGAGTAAAAGTCAGAATTGGACATTATTTGAGGTTATAAACAGATTTGTTTTATAAAAATGTTGTGTAAAATAATAAGTAATCTGAAATTATTAATCTCTTGAGTATTTTCGTGTTTTTTTTTTTTAATTTATGAGCACCCTGTATATCTAAACTAAGATGTTTGTATGACAGTCAATTCTTCGAGGTGCAGATCTTTTTATAAAGAGTGACATTTTTCGATAGTCAAAAACAAAAGAGTTTCTCCTCTTGTCAACTCCATTCGTGGACACACTGTATATACATTATTAATAAACTTTATTGTACTTAAATTCTCAAGTTTTCACTTAATTATTTTATTAAAAAAGTAAAAAAAAAGAAAAAATCTTATTTTTTGCTTTCTTTAAAATTGTTTATTAACGATTTTTTGCATAAAATTTTCCTTTTACATTTTTTAAATAGGCCATTTCGATGAGAAATTCAATTCTCTACAAAATTTTTCCAATGAACTATAATTTGGCTTCGTTTTCGTGCTATATTTAAAAAACTGCAAAAGTGCTTTACCCCTATCTTCAATTTCAGCCCTCTAATTTAATAGCACCCCGCGGTTTTTTAATTTTTATGACCCTTCCAACAAGTCATGTGATGAAAATCCTTGAACGTCGTATTTCTTTCCTTTTTTGCGAAAGATTATAATTAAGACGTATAAACGCGACGAAAATCGTAATATTGGCTAAGTTTGAGCGGCCATATATAAGTCTTTACAACCTCTTGTTTTGAAGGAAATTTTATCTACTTTTTTCTATGAATAATGCCTATACCTATCTTTACTAAAAAAAAAAACTAGAGGCAAAAAAAGTAAAAAAAAAACAGAAAATCGAATTTTTTGCTTTTTCTCAAATTGTTTATTAACGATTTTTTTGCATAAAATTTTCCTTTTAGAATTTTTAAATAACCTATTTCCATAGGAAATTCAATTCTCTAAATAACTTTTCCTATGAACTATAGCGAAATTTTGCTTCGTTTTCGAGGTGCAATTAAAAAACTGACAGGGGCGCATTTTCACCCCATCTCCAATTTCCACCCTCTAATTTAATAGTACTCCGCGGTTTTTTCATATAAAATGACCCTTTGAACGATTCATGCAATAAAATTACTTGTTAACCCTGTTTTTTGGATACATTCAATAGCCTATTAGGACACTAAGAACCTGTATTCCACACTCAGTTTTTTCTACACTTACTTGTGGTTTGTTTTTGGTGTAACTTATCAGCTTCACGTTTTAAACTTTTTAGCCATGAATCGTACGAAACCATTTTTTATCTCGCACCAATTTTTCCTTAATTCTTTTCGCGAGTTGGTATCCGAGTTATTTGAGACGTCGTCCTGGTTTTCTTCAGAGGTATGTCGAGGGCTTGTTTTGATATATTTTTTGCGCTTCTACACGTCAATGCATTTATTAAATTATGACTTCTTACCTTCCAGCCGAAGATGAACGTGCTATGCGACGGGAATCCTACCTCAAAGCAACTGAAGGCGGGAGGATGCACATCGACAGTGACCTTAGTGACGGTGGTGAAGTGTCATCACAGGTGCTCAGAAGGTAAATGATTTTTAAAACTCACTATTTTTGTATTTGGTAAATAGCAGGCTGAACAAATGCGTTTTAATTTTTGACGAATTATTTACTTCAATAGGTTTCTAACATTCGGGCAGTTGACAGTTCGTGATGTAAAGTATATTCATAGATTTAAGAGAAGCAGGGGTCACTTTGTAAGTTTGTTCAAGATAATTTCAATACTTGCATTTAATTTATTTTAGTTTATAAAAATGTTAATTTAATTGATAAAAAAGTGTATTCATCTATTTTGTTTCAGTCATAACTCAAATTGATAATAAATTTCTCTGTATTATTCGTAATGTGAATGTTCTGCAGTTATATGGAATAGCATTTAGACTGGATGATATGTTGTTACATCTGACACCAGTTTTCAGTTGATGACATGTGTTCTATGGGATTGAATTTACACAAGAAGCTTTAACATTGTGTATTCCTTACTTTTGGTAGAACTCGTAGAAGTACTGTTTTTCTATTTTTAAAGATTTGAGCACATCAAGTAACTTCCTCTCATGTTTATTCAATTGTCTGCTGTGGTAACTTACACAGCCCACACGTCACAATTTTTCATAGGGATTTTTATTCATTTGTCGATTTAATCAATAATTTTTTGCGCGCAATGGGTGATGTATATACAGTGCAATTTTTTAAAACCTGACAAACCAACTTTTTTATTTGAAGTGATAGACTAGTACTTCCAAATGCAAAGTTGTAGGAAATAACTTGACTAAGAAAAATTTACAAATAATTATCACCGGTGTTGCCAGATTTCTGCAGCAGACACTAAAACGATATTTTTTTAAAGGGCAACACCGTATTTTTTTTAACATAATTTGACAAACCTTCAAATTCTAAATAGAAAATGTTATGTCACATTTCTTTATTGGATTTGGATTTGAACAATCAGCAAAAACAACGAAAACAATCTACAGCCATATTCAGGGTTGCTTATATTTTATATCTCAAATAACCATCAGTTGACGTTTCTGTTGGACACTTAATTTGATAAAAAAGTGTTTAATATATTTGTTAAAAAAAAATACGGTGTTGCCATTTAAAAAAATATTGTTTAAGCAGCTACTGAGGAAATCTGGCAACACCGGAAAGCATTGTTTGTAAATTTTTCTTAGTCAAGTTATTTCCTACAACTTTGCATTTGGAAGTACGAGACTATCACTTCAAATAAAAATGTTGCCCTACGTCGGTTTTTAAAAAAATTACATTGAACAATGCACATAAAATTAAATTAAACAAACATGTTTTTATCAAATTAAGTATCAAACAAAAACATCAACTGAGGGTTATTTGTGATATAAAATATAAGCAACCTTGAATATGACTCCAAATTATTTTCATTGTTTTTGCTGATTGTTCAAAAGCGGCTACTCCAATAAAGAAATGTGACAACATTTTCTATTTATAATTTGAAGGTTTATCAAATTATGTTAAAAAAATACTGTGTTGCCATTTAGTAGTCGCTGCAGAAATCTGGTAACACCGCAAATAATTATTTGTAAATTTTTCTTAGTCAAAAAAGTTGGCCTGTCAGGTTTAAAAAAAATGGCATTGTATACATTTTTTATAATCTAGCATCTAAAGATATATTCGTCGATTTACATATCCGCATAATTATTTGAATTACCAAAATTATATATTACGCCAATCAAATTAGAGTTTGAACCAATTATATCATAAAACCTAAAAACTTGAGAAAATTATTAGTAGACATTTTATTGCATTTCATGACTCTTTTTTAAATTACCGTAAAAATAAGATCTATTTAATGCAAAAAGAGCGAATTCGCGAGCGGCCTTTGCCTGATCCTGGGATAATTTGTTAGTTGTAAAGGGCAACTTAATTTCAACTTTTTGAAATTTTTCTTTTTCGATGCGTTTCTTTGGATAAATTAAAACATATCTACGATATTAATTTCTAAAGTTAGCGTTTAGTAATTAAACAATTAGTTTGAAAAAAAAAACGAACGTAATTCCTGGAGCAACAATTTCTCGGTGAATCGAATGAGCCTTTGGCACACATGTTGGTCTTTGGATTGACCGTCTTTTCAATCATCAACATCCAACGCTTTTTGCAATAATAATGCGCAATTTTCGAAAACTAATTTTTCCGGATTCGACCTTTATTTTACAGATAACAAATTGGTGAAATATGACTTTAGATACCTTAAATTGTATGTACTTTAATAGCCTACAACATAAAATGACTAATTTTCCGATAGGTCGTCTAGATTTTCGGGGGCAGTAAAAAAAAAGTGAAAAAACAAGTAAATTTTCCACTTATTTACAATTTGCCAACTTAGCGTCAATTCTTTCGAGATACTTTTTTGATATTATCATTCACATCCTCTTTCCTTTCAAAAAGTGAAATAATTCTACTAATAATTTTTTAGGTTTTATGATCTAATACGACTTGAGTATATGTTTTGTTACGAGGGAAACATGTTTTTCAGAAGAGAGTTAAAAATTACAAGAAAAATAAATATAAAACAATAAAATATGATAGAAACTATGAAGTAGATCACGTTTTCGTAATCGAACTAAACAGTAACAAATTAAAAAAACTTGTACCTAATGTTCGCTTCAAAAATAATTTGTTCAGCCTGCTATTCCAACGAATCGAAATCGGGCCCCCACACACCTGGTTCTTGTCGCTACACTGTCTCATCACCTTCCGCCGACAGCCGTCTGAAGCTGGCGGGCCACTTTGTTGCTTCTGGTCTTGTGGTATCACTTAGGAGTATCAGATTTCAGCGAGAGATTGACTGATGATATAAATCATATTCTTTTTTTAAATGAATATTTAAAAAGATACAGCGGTTCGCGTTTCTAAATGTTTAATGCATAATTTGCCGCGCGTTTTCATCACCTGTCGTATCAAGTGATAATCAGTGTGTCGCCTACTACATTTTTATCACACTTTCGAATATTACTCAGTGACAAAAAAACTGTTTTCTTATGTGATACAAACATACTGACTACTCTAAAATGGTTATAATAATACCGTATATCTGTCCCCCATTTTAATCGCTTGAAGTCTTGTGCGGTGGAAGGGGCGGTATATTATAAAGACACTGTCAATTTTATGTATAGTTTTTGAGGGTTCAATAATTTTTGGTCTCTTATTCAGTCTCTCTGGGAATCTGTCGCTCTTAACTCTGTTTTCCCGACTTTCTCTAGTGCGCACAGACGGTGGCGGCCTCCCGTGTTTCCCGGGGATATCCAACAGCTCCGCAGGCTGTTTGAGGACGCTGCTTCCTCTTTGGGGTGAGATGGAATACGACCCGCTTCATAAGCACTCTGTTCTACTAACAATTAACATTTTATATTGCATACGGCGTGGTCCTTGTAAGATAGACGTGCATTTTAATCAGTGGTATCAATTTACGTTCGTTTAGAATATTTCTTTGCTGCATGTACACTTTAATTGCATAGAAAATGCGCTGTTAAAGTGTCTAGCATTTCATTGTTTATGTAAATCACCATTTGAATACGGCACAGTTAACAAAAATATTGATTTTAATTAATAGCTCTTAGAAGAGAAACACCGTCTGTGAAAATAACAAATCCAATATTAATTAAGGCTAGCACAGTTGTTAAAATTTTTTATTTGGGTTTTTGAACGTGTCACTTTTTTAAGCTAGACTGTGTTGGTAACCATCATCGTTATCGACCACTAGAAAAAATATATTTCCTGGCTCCAATTAAGGTTTTCTATTTCGAGTACTCTAAACTTCTCAGATTTCATAATCGTCTACCTTACGAGGACTTGCAGTAAAACTAATCTGCTAGAAAAATGTATATAGCTAGTAGCTTGAAAACTAATTGCGTTTGTACACTGCGCATCAAAATTAACACCAGAGAAATTGAGTCCCAATTTCAAAGTTGACATTCGCGCGAACGGCAAATGTGATTGTCACATTGTTTTTTTTTATTGTAGTTTTATTCCTCAGCAAAGATGCCGAGACAGAAATTTTTGTTGATATTTCAGTTTTTTTACATGTTTTATTGTGAGTTTATTATTAAAATTACAAAAAAGTTTTTAATACAAAAGTTTTAGCTTTTTTATGAATTTTTATAATACAGTATTTAGAGAAAACAATTGAATAGAAATCACTAAATTAAAGAAATTTTTTAATAGAACACCCTGTATATTAGTGCATACTTAGCTTCGTTAAATTTTTCCCTTTTCAAAAATATATAATATATTGCTGTTTGATTCAGAACTTTTTGACGTAATTCAGTTTAAAACTATTTTTGAAAAAACAGGAGGGAAATTTATGTCTGACGGATCGCAGTGGCTATGGACGAAGCACGCGGAACAAACAAATAACTTTGACAAAAGTTTATTTATCGTCATTAATTTATTTCCTACAACAAACTATTTTAACAAACAAATAATGTTTAGTGAAAACGCAAAATTTGAAGTTTGTTCCATTAAAAACTTTTTTTCTTTAATTTAATGATTTCCATTATTCAATTGTTTTTTCTAATACTGTATTATAAAAATTCATAAAAAAAATAACTTTTTTGTAATTTCAATAATAAACCCACAATAAATTGTCAGATTATAGTGACTAACCCTGTACAGGGTCTAAGAAAAAATAAATCTTTTACCCCAATTTTTGAAACACCCTGTAAGATTCTCTATTTAGAAAAGCAAATGTCTACTTGAATCAGGCCGTAGCCTGGTTGCTTTTTCAGTTTGTTTTTGATTGACATCCTTATTCCTTTTATTAATTGAGATTCATAAAATGCGAAGAAATAAATTTACGTTAATCTTTTATTGATCACTGTCGTTCCATACTTTTCTGAGTATTCTAGGGATTGGTGGTTGTTAAATTATCTACCCAGATTGTCTCTGATTTTTTTGTTATTATTGTTATGTCTTTAAATTTTTATAACTGAGACAGTTTAATTTAACTGTGTATCTCAATTAATAACAGAGTTAGTGACAAACTGTTCAAAAAAATCTGACTATACACTCACTTCAATCGTTGAAATCAAACCAACCGTTTACAGTAAAATCAACTTTAAAATTGAAGTCCCTTTTTAGCGGTTCCTAAGTTTTGGCGCAGTGTACATGCCTGACCAATAATCTACTTTTTAATACTAATTATTTTAGTTTGGTGCGATTTGAAAATTCTACATTTCAAACCACCGATTTATTCTTAACTTAGTAGAACACATTTTAAACATAATTTAATGAAACTGAAAACACTTATGCTCACTTTTCATAATTCAGTATTCCAATTTATAAATCACGTTTCTCGATAAAAATGCAATAAATTTTAATCGATTTAGATACATTAATAAACTAATGCGCGTTTCTGGAGAAACTAAATCGATTACAACAGCTCGTCTGACGGCGGTCTGCGAAATTGATTATCAAAATAATACATCAAGGATAAAACACTACGTCCGCAGCCTGTCCAAGGTCTTTAATATCGCGGTAAATTGCAAAGTACGCTCAATAATTTTGACGTTGAAAGAACAATTTTTAAAATAGTGTAACAATTATTTAGTTTTTGACACTTAATTGTTATGTAATTCTGTGCTACTATAGTCTGATGCAGTGCTTAAGGTCTTCTACAGACTAATAATAACTTCGTGTAGATCGTAATCAGATGTTACCTTCTTGACTTCGCCTAATATGTACTCGATTACCTTGGAAGAGGACTGCAACACACACTGCATGTCTGCACAGGACTGGTATACTGTGTAGTCGCAATATCCGACGGAACAAAAATAACAAAAAGTGAAATGTTCAGATGAAGTAGCTATTGGTTTAGTAGGCTCTGATTATTTAGGTATTGGTACATTTTGAATCTTTCGAACAAACATTAAAATTTTATAATAGACATGTAGTCCAAAGATGATTTATTACGTATGTTTTTTTTAATTATGATTCAACCAGTACGACTTAGTTGCTCCCACTTTGATTTATGGACGTCTTTTACATATATCTTGCCAGCATCAGCTTTTAAGTAGAACACGCGGAATATATAGGGTGTTAAAGTTAAATTAAATCGAATTATTTTAGCAACAACTTCGATCAAATTAAGCAGGGCAACGAATTAGGGAAATAAACATATTTTATTTGAAACAACACACAAAATCTTAATTTTTCATGAGTAAACAACGAAAGGAAACGCAAAAAGGAACATTATTTGGTAAATCTTAAAAGATCTTTAGAGATTCTGATAGTAGGTCCGCCCTTACAAAGCTTAGCCTGAGAACGAAGTCAGACAGGCATCCAAGTACAAAGGCCACAGCATAATAACCCGGAAAAACATCATATCTTGAAAGCTTTAAAACTGGCTAGAATCCCTTACATCCTAAATTTTTTAATGAAAGAACAAAACTTTTTTTGGCGCCCACTTTTTTTTTGGCGCCCACTTTTTTTCTGAAAATTTTGGACTTCCGACTGAGACTGCATGTTATTATTTTTTAAACCTTATAACTCACATGATAGCAGTTGGCTTAATAAACAAAAAGGACAGACATCTTTCAAAATTCAAATTATTTTCAATATAAGTTTCAGGGAAAAAAGACAGAACCAAAACCTCTCCTACATACACCACTGTATATTTACGCGATATTTCTAAATAATTTTAATTTATAACTTCTTATAAACGTTCTAACTTCAATATTTTGAAGCGACTATACAACATCGTTAGACTAACACGTAAGTTTATTTAAACCGCAAAATTCTCGGAAAAAATGTTCGGATACAAAGAGACGTCCAAATTGTTTCGTACAAATGTCGAGATAGTTAGAAACTTGAAAGAAACCCATCTGTTCATCAAATTAGAAACAGTTGAAAGTTACGCAAAGGCTGTTAAATGGTGTACGATATCAAACGTTAAATGTTTTTCAAATGTACAGCGTGTACATAAATAATTATAGTTTGAAAAAAATATATATAAAAGACGCGTAAGAAAATTTGAAAATGTTAATAGCAACGTTAATTAATTTTGGGTTTGGTTTGATGGTTTGCACTTTAAAATTAGGTATTGCCATTAAACTGCTTTTATGAGTACTGATTACGTTAGCAGGTACAATAATTTATGTGCGTCCAATGTAGGTTAAATTGCCGATAAAACCAATTTAAAGGTATTTGTCATGATCTACTTTAAACCGAAATAAATGGCGTGTAATTATGAAAATTTTACACAACTCTTTATTTTCTCATACTGCTTCGAATATGAATTTATTGTTATTATTTTTTTCCTTACATCCTCCTTTTTCCTCCTGTTTGTATATTTTACTTTAGGCCTCAAATTTGTACGCATATCGACCGACTGAAAACGAAACCGTTCTCATAGCTTAAAAAAAAAAATTAGGCAACATAATCATAATTCTATATTTCCCTGCACACCGCCTTCAAACGAGATTTATCACCCAAGAAGTGAAACCGAGAAATTTACATATATTAAATCAGAATAAGTATTAATAACGCCTTATTTGGTATTAACGTTACAAGTTGGGAGCACGGGTAATTTTACGTGAATGCGTTTTTACTCCATTGGGCACGCTTGATTTATCGTAGATGGGAGAATGCGCCTTACGCGTCTATGCTCAGATACTTCTCGATAAATTAATCCTATTTTCCCTTTACACGCACTAGGTGGCGTCCATGGACGTCGCTTAGGGGGGCAAAAGGTTTGTTATTTGATGTTTCTCAGCTTCACTGATTTTCTACGGCCTACTATATTTAATAAAAGATCCTCAAAAATTAAATGTTTATTTAAATTGAAATTTAACGGCGCCCGTGACGTCGGTTTTTTATTTTACGGGAATGGCTTTACTCGAACTAGCGCTCTAGTTGGGCAACAAGTACTGTACTTTTCTTTATTGGAATCATCGTATTTGCTTCTATTATAAGTAATCCACTTTCTTAATGAAGATATACACCTAAAGGAAACAGTTACATTTAAATATTCCCCAAATAGATTTTTTTTTCGTAAAAAAAAATCAATCTTGCGAAAAATATGTTTATTCAATATACTCTGCTTAAAATGAATGTTTCCTTGTCAAAACTTGTCTTCCCAAATTTCTTGATGATTCACTTCGTAACGTGAATTAAATTATGCAAATATCGCGCTCTAATTATTTAACGAAATAAATTTTCGGCGGGAAGTTACTCAAAATTTTCGTGTCTTGTGTCATATGACGGTAATACATTTCACGGTGTCGTAACTTCAACGGTTTCTTCTACAAACATCTGCGGTAATGTTCATTTCTCATATCGGTAAGCAGAAGGTGTTTTACCGCTACCAAAAATATCTCATCACACAGGGTGGCACAACTATGCAAGTTTATTCCTATAAAACAGTTGATCTTTTACAAATGTCAGGGTTTAAATTTTAAATTACATCTTGGTTGTACGCAAATCATTTTTCTGGATGCATACTAATTTCTGGAGATATGTAAAAAAAATCTTTAATGATATGAACATCCCAAATGTGTTGTTTTGATAGATTTTCAAGATTTGCAACCGTTTAAATTTTCAAATTATGTACAGTATACGTAAATATTGCGAAAATTGCATCCCCTATCTCTCCTGTTATGTTAGTTACTTTGTTATCGTACGACTTGTTCTTACTGCGTACATTCTAACCGTTGATTGTGATGGTACCAGGTGCTCCACAGTTTAGTGTGTTCATATGGTTGAAGAATGATTACTGATTACCCTCTTGCCAGTTTTTATTATATTCAGACATCTGCTACAAGTTGTCTAGGAAGAGGTTTCTGTAACGATTAAGAATTTATTAGTAGCAACCATTTAAACGGTTTTAGACATTCCGCACTTTATAAATACGTACACCATTGCGCAGATAGTATCGAATACTGGTTACTGAATATAGTAGTTAGTATTCATAAGAAATTTATGAATACTAGATATTCATCAAAAGTTTATGAATACTGAAAATTGATAAAGTTTGTGAGTACTGCTCAATCAATACTTGTCCATGAATACAATGTATTCGTTATGGCTATTTTGTTAAACTGAATACAAGAGGAATTAATTCACCTCTGAAATATTTTTAACACCAATTTGTTCGTCTAGCACACGTTAATATTCTTCATGGTATGATATCCTTATTGCGGTAGCATGAATGCATACATATGTAATTATGTATTCGTAAAGTATTCACAAATTCTGTACCTACCGAAGATGTATTCGGCGAATAGAACATTCGTGCAATTACAAATCGTAAATATCTATATCATCTATATCTATCTATATCATTCGTGAATATTTTGGGCAAATGTTTATAGTCACGAATATAACATAAACAATATTAAAAAAATCTGTAAAAACTCGCAAATAAATAGTTATTTCAGAAATATATATTTAGGAAGACATTTTACTAAATATATTATTGTATATGTACTGAATACAAAAGTTTGTATTCAAAGAAATTGTGAATACTAGATATTCATCAAAAGTTTATGAATAGTGAATGTTAATAAAGTTTGCGAATACCGAATATTTCGTATTCTTGAATACAATGTATACGCAAACGCTATTCTATTAAATTGTGAATATAAGAAAAATTTATTTACCCTTGAAATATTTTTCGAATACCGACTGTGAGTGTTGTATATTTGGTACTCCATAATGAATACGAATACTAAATACTTTGCGGTTTTTGTATTCATGAATACAGTGTATTCGCAATCGCTATTGTATGACATTATGAATATAAGGAAAATTTATTCTTTCAGTATTGTATTAATATTTTAGATAAATATTTGTATTCGTGAGTACTGCCCCACACCGAATAATAGGCATATTTGTATGTATTCGTAAAGTATTCGTGCAATTCCAATCGTACATATCTATATCATCTATATCTATCTATATCATTCGTGATTATTTTGGTCAAATGTTTATAGTCACGAATATAACATATACAATATTAAAAAATATGTAAAAACTCGCAAATAAATAGTTATTTCGAAAATGTATCTTTAGGAAGACATTTTACTAAATATATTATTGTATACTGAATACAAAAGTTTGTATTCAAAGAAATTATGTATAGGTACTAGATATTCATTAAAAGTTTATGAATAGTGAATGTTAATAAAGTTTGCGAATACTGATTGTTTCGTATTCTTGAATACAATGTATTCGCAAACGCTATTCTATTAAATTGTGAATACAAGAGAAATTGATTTACCCTTGAAATATTTTTCTAATACCGATTGTGAGTGTTGTATATTTGGTACTCCATAATGAATACGAATACTAAATACTTTGCGGTTTTTGTATTCATGAATACAGTGTATTCGCAATCGCTATTGTATCATATTGTGAATATAAGGCAAATGTATTCTTTCAGTATTGTAAGAATATTTTAGATAAATATTCCGAATAATAGGCATATTTCTAACTTATTGCTCAATCCTACCGACAAATAAGAATAAGAAGTCATGAAACTTAATGAGCTCAACCCACTGCGCGGGATCGGACAAAAGTAATTGATGCACCCATTGTTTGTTCTCACTTTCGCCTTTCCGTTTCCGATTTCTCCGCCAGTTTTGCTCACCGGAGCATCGGAATGTTACACAACTCTCGACTCGATTTTTTTCCTCCACTTACGAGAACGCAACAAATGGTTTGCCTCATAGAAAGTTAGTACATGAGTCGAGTATTAATTGCGATATCGCGCGAATATCTCGCGGATGCACCTGTTGTTGCCGTCATGGATTCCTTTTGAAACTGTCGATGCTCCTAAACTGTTAGATACTCGTTTAGATTTGAAGTGGAAAATTGTTTTTGGGGAATAACAAAACTTGGGTTTTTAAACAGAGGGCGTATCTGGTCGTTTTTTGAATTCAGTGTATTCATTAACAAAAAGAAATCCATAAATTTGTCCGATAACGTTTTATTATCTTACTTTACTTTTAGCAATTTTTTTGTTGATTTGTGGTGTAGAAACCACCTTTGAAGTTTAGCTCACCAATTTAGTTACACCCAGTATACAGAGCGTTCATGATGAAAGGTACAATTAAAAAAAATCAATGATGACTGCATATGTTCTTCTTGAGACACTCTGCATACAATTTTCTTATGTCAAAAAATCCGTAACTAAAAATACTAATCGACGTGTCCGAGCGTTTTTCCGCAAAATAATTACCTGAATTTTAAACGAACTTGTCCCTTTCATCATGAACGCATTGTATGAATAATAATGTATAAGAATTGTCGAATATTAACCATTTAAAATTTTCCTGTATCATGTTGCAATATCAGGTATAAATATTTCTCCTATTGTTCTGCAACAAAGTACCTGCAATGCTAATAAGAAACATTACAATATATGCAGGATTAGATTTTTTTGTTTTCAGTAAATAATGACGCCTCTGTAGTTTAATGTTCAATATTGACATTAACTAATTTATTACGTTAGTCGCACGCAACTAAGAACTATATTGTGATTATATTAAAAAAATAATTTTGAACAGACGTTGAAGCAGCTGAAATTAGTATTTGATGCTGCTTGCAAGTAATACATAAATATGTACACATTTTAATATATTAGATCACATCTGAACTATAATGCGTTGTTTTAATCTTTTTTTATATCTTTATGATTCATTTTATGCTCGTAGTGAAACTAGATATTGTAAAACTTATTCTATAATCCAATGTGTCTGATTGTATGTGCGACATAATAATTGTCCAGTGTCAGTTTCCGTAATTGTTCCAGTATTTTACTCCGATCGATTTTTTGTGTAGCTAAAAAAATATATAATTTACGATTCGTTACTCATACCGTTATAAATTTTCCGTCGTGTTATTTTTATTGTTATTTTAAAATATCTGGTTTATGTCATTTTTATTATGGATGACACTTAATGCAAAATATACCATCATCATATCAAGATGTGAGCGTGGAAACCAGAATTATGTAACAGTGTAAGTGCTTGGTTCAGTACATGTGAAAATTTTAACTGAGACTAATCGGTTCGGCTTTTTTTTTGATAAATAGTATCCAGTGAGTACCATGTAGAACTTTGGAATTTTAGAACTAGAACTTAATATTGATTGTACTAACATTAATGTTGTTTTTTATCTAACCTTATTTTTCATTAACAGAACTTTCTGAAATTAGTCATATCTCGCTTTTGTAGTTGCATCCTCCGACGGTGTAAATAATGATGCTACATTTTACTCTGTTTGTTTAATGCATCATTCTGTATTTATCGTTTTGTGTATTTGCAGTGGTAGCGCAAGCAGCAGTAGTGCATCCCTGGATAGGGAAAAGATTTCAAGTAGTCCTGGGCCTCTTGACAAGGATAAGTACAGCGTTATAAGGGAAGGAACAGTGCATTGCAAAATTTTGGAAATAGACGGGAAGGTAAGATTTTTCTCAGTTGCCTCTTTTCTATTAGAGGAAAAACTTGAATTCAGCAAAAAATGTTCTTTCAGAGAGCGACTGATCGATCTTGGAAGCAAGTCTTCGTGGTTTTGAAAGGACCCAAACTCTTCATTTACAAGGACAGGCATCATCAGGTGAGTCAATTATTTTGCGTGTAATTTTGCCTAATTAACTTAGGCGTCGCACTATAATTCATTTGGACTTAGGTATGGACAAAATTAAGTAGCGCCTCGTAGAAAAAAGATAAAAAAAAATTAAAAATAGCGTTTTAAAGGTTAAGTGGAACAGATTAAGGGAAAAATAATCACATTTCACCAGCACCCCATTTACACCCTCAAAATTGCGCCCCAAAATTATAATTTTGGAAAAAAAATTACATTTTTTGCTCTCTCGTTTAGAAAAAATTTTTTTTCAAATAATACAAAACATTTTTTTATAGTTTTTGAGATGAGGAATAAGAATCCATTGTTTAAATTGAGCTAAAAAAATTTAGAACCCTTAAATTTACGAATATTTCAGTTTCTGATATTTTTATATCAGATTTCCGCTCTTATGCATCGATTTGCTTGAAATTTGGATATCAGGTGGGGAATAGCTCAAGAATCAAAATACACCCCACGCTGATATATATTTTTACCCAAGGGGTGGTTTCTACCCCTTTGAAGGGGTTGAAAATAAATTGTCAAAATAATCCCGGGAATCGATAGAGCAACTAATTTCAAGCAAAAAATGCCCCATACAATTTCTTTGATAAATCGATACTTTTTGAGTTATTTGCGATTGAAAACTCAATTTTCCAAATGAAAATTCATTTTTTCATAAAAAAATTATTATAAACAGAACTCAGATCATATCCGAAAAAATGAATTTTCATTTGGAAAATTGAGTTTTCAATCGCAAATAACTCAAAAAGTATTGGTTTATCAAAGAAATTGTATGGGACATTTTTTGCTTGAAATTAGTTGCTCTATCGATTCCAGGGATTATTTTGACAATTTATTTTCAACCCCTTCAAAGGGGTAGAAACCACCCCCAGGGTAAAAATATATATCAGCATAGGCTGTATTTTGTTTCTTGAGCTATTCCCCACCTACTGTTCAAATTTCAAGCATATCGATGCATAAGAGCGGAAATCTGAGCTAAAAACATCATAAAATGAAATATTCGTAAATTTAAGGGTTCTAAAATTTTTTTAGCTCAATTTAAACAATGGATTCTTATTCCTCATCTCAAAAACTATAAAATAATGTTTTGTAACATTTGAAAAAACATTTTTTTCAAACGAGAGAACAAAAAATGTAAATTTTTTTCCAAAAGTATAATTTTGAGGCTCAATTTTGAGGGTGTAAATGGGGTGCTGGTGAAATGTGATTATTTTTCCCTTAATCTGTTCCCCTTAAGCTTTAAAAGGCTGTTTTTTAAATTTTTTTATCTTTTTTCTACGAGGCGCTACTTAATTTTGTCCATACCTAAGTCCAAATAAATTATAGTGCGTCGTGGAGGAAAGCACTTGTACCGACCAATTCATCAATCAGGCACCATGCCTAAAAAAAATAAATACTAGGATCATGACCATTTCATAATTTTTTTGTATCCTACCGAGATTTCAAATCCGTAACATCCAGTGGGCCTTGGAAATTCAGAAAAATCTGCTCTTGTTCACCAGTAAAGTGTTATTTCTGTAAGAAAGAAATATCTCGTGTTATTAGGAAAAGCGTTTCATAATAAGAACTTGAGTACCACTTTGATTATGTTCTTGACATTTAGATTTGTTTTGAAGTAGGCCTAGCACATTAAAATTGTGTGCATATACATACTTAATTTTTCATTATTGGAAACTTTTGTTTATAATATTTTCATAACTCGCGCAAAAAAAGTACTTGATTAGTATAAAAAAAAAAATCCTGCCAAGAAATCGTTTTTTTAAAAAATTTTTTTAAACGTCGCTCAAGTTCTTTAAAATTTCCAAAATCGTTAAAAATTGATTATTTTTTAAATTTTTTTCTCGTTATTTTATCATTTTCTAGGTTGAAAAAAATCTCTTGGTTTCTAAAGGTCACTCATAATTATTTTATCTTTAAAAGTAGTATACCTAAAATGTTTTCGAGCGACCTCTAAAAATAAATATCAACGAAGTAATAATTTTTTTTATTGAATTTTATGAACAAAAGAATATAAATAAATCACGAGACACTTATTACCGCACTGTGAGTGTCAAATATTTATAATTTTTTAATTTATTAAAATTTAAGTGTCTCTTGATTTATTTTTATTCTTTTGTTCGTCAAATACAATAAAAAAATTATTAGTTCGTTGATATTTATTTTTAGAGGTCACTCGAAAACATTTTAGGTACACTACTTTTACAGTTAAAATAATTATGAGTGACCTTTTAGAAATTAAAGTATTGATTTGAAATTTTCAGATTTTTTTCAGCATAGGAAATAATAAAATAAGGAGAAAAATAATTAAAAAAAAATCAATTTTTGACGATTTTGAAAATTTTTAAAAATCTTGAGCGATCTCTAAAAAAATTGAGCTGATTTTTTGAGGGGGTTCTTAAAACATGATAAATTAACATATTTTCACAAGAGACACGAAAAAAAAATATTCGTTTTTTTTGGCCACCCTAATCAGCATGCATCAAAAAAGCTTCAGAATTTTTCAAAAATATCAAAATTGTTATAAAATACAGGGTGATTCACAAATGGTGATCAAAAATTACCCTTAAAATTCACCAAAGAATACGAGGTCACCATTTGTGAATCACCCTATATGTCAAAGTCCATAGAAACGGCATCAGAAAATGTTATAATCAATATCGCTTTTGAATATGATCGTATACGTCAATGTCATGTCAGATAATCTTCAAATTAGCTGTCAGATACCCTCTGCAAGTCCACGAAATTTTATTTCAAGATGGCTGTGAACTACTGACGTACAAAAATCTTCTATTTCATTATTTCGTCGCCGGGCGCTTGAATTTTTGTGATCTACAACAGCGGACCCCACACAAATTATTTCATATCGCATTAGTCGCTTATTTGGTCCACTCTGGACATTCCCATGATGGTTTTACGGTGCTATTATAATTTTACGCACGGCCGAGGTACAAGCAACTGTTCGTAAAGGATTCGCCTCGGTAAATTTACAACACGTGCCCTTTTCCTTGGTCGCGCCATATGTCCCGCTAAGGAAATTCCGGTATGCCGCACGACGCCTAATGAATCTATTTTTATTCCGAATTAAAATGCAAAGAAGAACGATTGTTTGTCGAAATTTTCTACAAAATATTTTTAAAAAGTTCCGTCTTCGATAATCTTGAAACTGGCATACTTGTATCTCTGAAGTTTGAAGATTAGTTCGTCACGTTTATCTTGATAACATTATGCAAATAAAAAATAAATGTTTCACCTTAAATTTTAGACTCGGAAACCGATTTGGTTCATTTAATGAATAATACACTTTACTATAGACAACAAGACATAACATTTGCGTTGAAATATACTATTAATCATATAGGAGCCTTAGTCCGCAGAGAAGTTGATTGTCACAATATCACTAGTTAAAAATATTATTCTTATTTCACAGTCACCATAAATAAATAATAACCAACGCAGAGTTATTGTTATATTGCACTGAATTAATTTTAGCGAGACAAACGCGACATCTAACGTTGGTAATGTCAAGCTAATAACAGAGGTTGTAATACCGATAAATACGGTCACTTTGAGAACCACTGTCCACATGGAAGGTTTATACATTATTAAAATATAACCTCCACCTTTTAGTTTCGGATTGCTATTTAAAAAACGTATTTGTTAAATTACTGAAAAAAAATCAACGCCTCGCTAGTTTTCATAGTAAATATTTAACATTTAATTACAATTACAGCACATTAAAAATTAGAAAAAAATGGATTGCAATACACAAATATGCACGAATATTAAATTTGAAGTGAGAAATAAGTATTTTGATTTCCTACAAATATGCTTTAAATAAAATAAAACACTTCCTACACACCAGCATAGAAAAATTTTCTTCAAAGCGGACTTGTTTACCGCAACGTTAGTCTCGAAAATCATGTGAACTATTTCTACAATGGTAAGAAACTCTCGTGAGTTTGTAATATCCTTGTTTCTTGCGATGTAAGGATTGTCCATTCAGAAAAAACTATGTAACCACCAATTCGATTTAAATGTAATTTTATACAGGATGATTCACAACTTACCCAAAAAAATTGGGAATAGATGCGTCATGAAAAATGGAGTCAATATCGTAAAAAAAAATTTTTGTAAAATCCTTACAGTTTCCGAGAAAAAAATTATTGAAGTTGTAGTATTTTCAACCCTTACATCGCTGGACTGTAGTCTTTAGCGTCATTCTTTTTGTGCGCTGTGCGCAATACGCTGTCTCTCTCCACGTGGCTCCAAACGAATCCGAATACCGCAATCCGATTTTAGTATTAACGTTTTTGGGATAGTGTTTACACTAGTTTTTCAAATGTTAGTCAAGGTCAACTTTTACAGTGGACCGGTTTCCAGTGCCGTGCAGAAGTGTATTTTTAAATCATTTTCGAACAGTCCTTTTTGATTTTTTTTTTACAAAATTGTATTTGAAAAAGTCTCCTGTACAATAAATTTTTTTTTGATAAGTTCTGAATCACCCTGTATATTAAATGCATTAATCCAGGGGTTCTCAAACTGTGGTACGCGTAAATTTTCAGGGGGTACGCGGAGCAGGTTAATGAAAAATTCAACCATTTTTATTTCTTTCCGTTTCGTAATCACGCAAGGTAATAATTTAATAATGGAATCTAATTTAATTCTTGTGTGGTAGGTACTTCTCATTAATTCTTTGTAATACGTTTCAAATATATTTCCAAATATATTGTGTTTTTGATGTAAAAAGTGTTTTTAATTTGATTTTGAGAACCCCTGCATTAAACTAACAGAAATAAATCCAATAAATTTTTTGCCAAAATCATTTCAAAAGAAATAAAATAATGCTCTTTCATAACAAAAATCTAAGTTTAACCAAACACGAGATGTGCAGATCAAGAAGAAAATCTGTAATAGGAGTGGCAAAGGCAGGATAATAGTCTAGAAATACTATTAAGGCATAGTGTTCAGAT